CAGCAATTTGGAAAACTCCCACATTGCGCGAGCATTCCATGTACCTAAATAAATGGTTGCTCTGGTTGTCAGAAGGGGAATCGGCCTCGTGACCTCCGAAGAAACTCGGCTTTCATCATGAGGCGTCATAATTCTTCTAAACGAAGACCTTCTGACTCCCAGGGCAGAGTTTAAATGGTTTGAATAATTTTTTCTGGTTAGCGTTTTTTTAGCGAGTTAGTTTTCTACGGGATGGGGTCGCTAACCCCATGCTCAACCCTCCTCCTTATCCGGGCTTGAGACCTGCAGGAGCCCCTGGAAAGGGGCTCCAGGCGGAGTTATCTATGAGATTAGTACATGAAAAAAGTTATCCCAGTCTGAAAGTTTAATCAGTGAATGCCGGAGGTCCCAGTCGGCATATTTAAAGTCTCTATATTGACAGGTTTTTTGAATGGGTCGGTTAGAAGAGGGAAATATAGGGAGAGCGCATACTACTGTCTTATGGTCACTGCTTTCAAATTCATCGTATACTTTTACAAACAGTGGGATAATATCTTTACTAAATATTAGATCGAGTATACTATCACCTCTAGTTGGGGTACGAACACACTGTGACCAACAGTGCATGTTAATGGTTGCCGAGAACTCCTCATTACATGACTGACAGCTACCGGTACTCCAGTTAATCCCAGGATAATTGAAATCTCCAGTGATAACCTTAGCACTAAAGTTTAGAGCAGATGCATGTATGAATGCATTGATAATAAGATTATTCCCATTATTTGAGCTCTCAGGAGCTCTGTATATACATCCAAGGAGTAGACTATGATTCAGGGTGTTGACAGATATCCAGACTGATTCTGGTAAACTATTCAGGACACTATCTTCAACTCTATTAGTTGTTAGGATATCCAAAGCATATATAATATAACCACCTCCTCGCTTAGTTTCTCTGTCACAGCGATAGAGTCTATAGTTTTGGATATTTAATTCTGAATCAGATACTGCATGAGAGCACCATGTTTCAGTGATAAGTATGAAAGAAGGCTTGTATAGAAAGGCTAATGTTCTCAAGGCTGAAATTTCGTTCAGAAGTGAACGTGCATTGATAAGTAATAGATTTAGAAAGGGCGTATGGAGTGTAAAAAAACCGAGAGCTTCCCTATTGATGTCGTGTATTTTGGATTTGCATAGACTGTGGTTTATTATGTTTGACTGATCACATGGGCGATCGCTTGAGCGAACTGTAGTGCTAGTGGGACCAGGGATTTCTGAAGGCCAAAAAAATCATTATTTTGATAAAGCGGATTAATTTGTTTAACTTGACTAGGCGGACAGTTAAGACAAGGTTGGGTTGATGGTGAGTAACCCAGTAATCCATCTTGCCCGATGGGAAAGTGTTGAGAAAAGTTACGTGTTACTGGTATATTATTTAAAACGTTTGATGTTGGGTAACCTAGTAATCCATCTTGCCTAATGGGAAAGTGTTGAGAGAGGTTACGTCTTACAGGTTTATCATTTAAAACGTTTGAGGGTACTCGTGAGGCTCGTTGGTTTACTGTGGTCTGTCCAGTATTAGGCCTGCTTACATAATGATTGAAGTGGCCGTCCTTTGAGACATTTGAACCAGGTCTGCCCTTATATCCTCCCATACGATGCGTTGGGTAAAGCATGGTGTCGGGAAGTATAGTCTTATTTGTATTTAGTAGGGCCATCGTAATACTTTTATATTGGGTCTAGAACCAGAAGGTTCTGTACAAACATTCTTCTTACGTGGCATAGACTTTTTAATCTTGGCAGTGTTTTTAAGAGCTGTCGCATTAGGACTAGGTATTTGCTTATGGGCTTCTAATGGTAAATTGGATACTATCGGATTAGCGTAATCAGTAGATGTACATTGGTTATCAGATGTCACTACAGGCATAATAGGTAAGTTAGCACTCTTCGTTGGCAGATCAGAGTACTGGAGAACATGAGATAGGGTATCAGCATCAGTGGATCCAGCAGCTGATGCATCGTGATTTTTTATGATCTCAACATCTTTATTTTCGTTCACGGTACGCTTTTGCGTATGTCTTTGATTGGTGGTCTTATCTGAGACTATGCGAGCGTTTCTAAACTTCGTAAGTGCGCATATCAGCCGCTCAGATTCTTTCAACTGTCCAGCTAATATATGAGAATCAAACCTGAACAAGACCGGGCACGAGTATTTCTGGTGCTTCTTAGTAAGTCAGATGCATTGGCATGGACTGTCTTGAAGGTTAGATGCTTTTAATATCGAATTCCTTACAGTTTTAATGGGGACTTTGTCAGGTATATTATAGACAATCACGTTATTACGAGAGACTATTCGCTTGGTAACTTCCCTAGCGATAAAATCAATAACAGATTCTGCTTTTATAATGTCATCAAGTTCCGCAGGAACGATGTCTTTTGACAAAAGCAGTTTTAAGGGTGATAGTGTCTTTAGTTCTTGCTTAAGATCATCATGCTTTGATAAAGAGCTAGAAAGTGACTCAACTTTAGAACGCATGTCGCTTAGTTGCTTAAAGAGAGTGTTTAATTCACTCTTCATATCATCGATCCTTTTTTATCCTGAGGTGGAACTCATTACTAAATTAGAAACAGAGTCATCCAGAAGCACATGTGGTGTAAGACATCCACGTCGGATCTTATAGATTAGACAGTTACACCATGACAAATCTACAATTTTAGGATTAAATTTATTATTAGAACTGTACTAATATCATAGTAGACTACAATTCTACATGCTTTTCTGAATATGAGCTTAAAGAGACAGTAAGACGCTTATGACCAGTAAATAGAGTGAATTCTCGACCTTTAACAGAGTGCTGAAAGCGCCACATGGTACAACACCTAGCTGGGAGTCCTCTACCAAAAGTGTTATTGTTCTGGATAATCAATAATGGCCGCCACTTTGCTTTTTAGAGGTCGGATGCCTTGGATATCAACGTTATTTCCGAAAAAAATCGAGGGAGTTGGTTCCAATCTGACATTTTTAAATGTTTACGGCAATGCCATGTTTTACAGTCGTTCGAGAACAAGGTTCAGATACTGGAGAACGAGAGTCTCTGTCTGGACATGTGATCAAGTGGTCGTCTACAAATAAATGTACGAATTTGATACGTTGAAGAACGTCATGGATAAATCTCTAGAAAGATTATGCAGAATTTTCTAAACCGAAAGGCATACACGAAAATTCGTAGAGTCCGAAAGGTGTGATGGCGGTTTAAGGAATGTTGGCTGAAGCCATGGGAATTAGCTTATACGTCTCAGTCAAGTCGATTTCAAAAAAGTAGTTGTAACGTACAAGGTAGCTGTCAAAAGTTGAATGTGAGGTTGTAACAGCTTAAGTTGGTTGTTAAGAGTTAATCTCAAGCAACTATGCATATATCAAAACAGCATAGTTTAGATATTCATTTACTTCTTTATTTTGTTTAGGCGTTATATTTCTAACTATCTTATATTGCTTGTTGAGAGGTTTTGTTTGTCTGAGTAAGAAATCGCACGCTCCACTGTGACTGCGCGGAGATTAAAAATAAAGACCTATTTACCTACGAGTCTGGTTTCTTCTATTAATAACGCGAGGGTTACCTAAAGGCATGAAAAGGTAACGGGTAAACGACTAGGAATGGGTTTCTCATTTAGTCACCTACGGTCACCAGTTGGACACCAATCATTGCTGCCCTTTTTAGGGATCATGTGCAGGGGATATGTCCGTGGGCTGTTGGATGGTTGAATGATTACTAGGCTTATCAAATGGTGGGATTTGTTGGTAGTCAACCTCAGCTTTCCAGGAGCTAGTAGGCACTTTTTTGATACGACATGCAAAAATGAAATTGAAAAACAACATATGTCGTTCAAACAAGGAACAGATTCACGGTTTAAAAATTCGTGTGCCAGGTCACGTCAAAACCACCACTAAAAATGCCACATGTATTCAGAGTTTGACGACGCCTTAGCCATTAACATATTTTGTAATCGAAATATACCAGACTAGTCAAAAGTTTCGAAGACATACTTGATAGGCTAACTATGTATCGAGAAAGGATTAATTCAAGCTGGCTACCAGTTATAGGAGATGTGTAGCACGGCGTACCCGCTCAGTATCTGGTGCGTATGCATAACCGAGCACTTTAGCTAGGTAAGTCCTTCAAAGCTAATGCAGACAGGACCAAATGTTGAAGACTTACAGAGCTATTGATTTTGGGGATTTGTTTACCGCCACAAACTATAGCATCCGGATGGTTTAGCTGATGACATTACCAAGTGTTTTTTTGATATGACAACATCGAATGACTTTTTCGTTAGAACTGTAGAAACACGATGATTGGAAAAAGAGCCAGGAGGAAGTGGCAGTGGTTGGGAGGAGGGAGGGAATGATGAGAGTGAGATTATTGTAGTGACTATCGAGAACAGAAGCTCTCTAATTACGCTGTCTAAAGATAATTACGACCGTTGACAAAATTTTTCCAGTCCGTATTGACTATTCAAACTAGCAAGTTCAAGAACAATGTCAGATATTGACATAGCTACTTTTGGGCTTATTTACGATTAATATACCGTTATTCTGCTGCTGTTTGTTGACATAAGACAAAAGTGTACAAATGTCACGTTTTGTATTGATAAAGAGCTTAAAATTTTAAAATATCACTCTTCGGTTTCACTTAACCAAATGTCCTAGCTTCCCTTTGATGTCGATGCTACTTATCACTGACATGAATTTGTGTTTTTTAGGTGCTCGCCTCACATGCAGTTTTTTGTACTCAATCTGCCAGTAAAATATCTCTTTCTATTAGACATCAACGTTATATATGTTACTGCACAAAACATTGTATATTGAGTGCTATGCACAAGAAGGTGTACTTCACAAGGTCGTCTGATTGCTAGTATTTTCCAGGCTTTTTTGGTACTAGATATCGAGTGTTTGTGTACCGGTAGCAATTTTCACATGAATTATGGGTCAGTTAGACCAGATATCACTGTCAAGTTTGGCAAGGTAAGAATTAACTTTATTAGTCATTCGTTGATAATATTGTCCAAAAATTAGGACTGTGGTATCATTTACACATGTGGGATACTATAGTGCTATTTATGAGTAGCATGACATTCATCAACTAATCCAATAGGTTTCTCTGTGATAGGCTGGTCGATGTTCTTACCATGTAATTTTATTTCAATCAAGACTCATAATTATAAGTCAATACTTCTCAACCTCAAATTCTAACCACTCATAAACACCACATTACTTTATATCTCTTACTAAGTAAGAAGAAATCATAATAGCGGGTGATTATCGTTGCGTTTTTTGAAGCTGTCTGGCTACTGTATTTCACATGAGGCAGTTCAGTGTTTAACACCAATCTATTGTCGACTGATACATGTCTGGTTGACATTTATTTATTTTAACACATATTGGTACAAGGAGACACCAAATACATATGCGCCACACGAATCTCAATTGATTTGTGTGAGGGCTGTGAAACTGTTCGGATGCCCGAACCGAAGCATTCCGTGTACATAAACCTGCATTTAGTTAATAAGTTATATATCACTGTGCCAATTCGTTATCGGACTAAACTTTGCCAAGAGTCCGTGAAGATAATTCGTCCCTTCTTACCCAAACATTAGTTTTTTCAAGTCTATAATAGGTTTAAATACATAGAAATTCACGGTCTGGATTTTGTTCATAAACATGTCAATCACTTGTGCTTTCCTATTAAGACTAAAGGGAGAGAAACAATTTCATATGGGTTAACAAAGTACATTCTGGTTCTTATTATAGCGGATTATTGATCCAAGGTACTACAATATTTTACACAGTGTACCCGTCGGAATAGAAGCTACAGAATTCCTACAGTCCAACGTTGATGATCTTGGTAAGATTAATTTAATCTCTTAATTTTTTGATATAAATGGTGCTGGAGTTTATAGTCTCATATCACTACCGGTGCTTTTACTTCATTATTTTTCCGGCTTCAAAAGTACTAGCTCTCAAAATGCTTGCTTTGCTATCATCCTGCTGTAATCATTGTCCATTTGGTCGTAGCAAATATACGAGTCTTTGATTTTCTCTTTTTATAGAACTAAAGGCATTGCTTAACGGTCTTGTCAAGAGCAAAGACTATAGAAGTGTGGATGTTTAACCTGCAAGTTACCTGGGGTCTAATCCATTTCATAGGCTTTCATCTAATAAAGACAGCACTATCCAAGTCTATGCAGGTTTCATTTAGTCTATCATCTTACTTATGGTCAGTGAATAAAACGTTTTGCGAAACTGTACAGCTTTGGTGATACTTCACTAGAATTTTATGTGAAGGAGATTCGGTCAGGTTGCTTTTGTTTTGTTATATTATTGTGACTACAATTTCATTGGTTTCTGAGGGATACCTTCGAAAAGGTTGCCCTAAAAAATACAAGATCACAGTTTGTTATAGTTCTAAAATTGTACCATGATTCAGAAATGGACTACATTTTTCCTGAACTATGTAAAATTGGAATTAACAAATTAAGATTATTGTCATGTGTACTGCGTGTCCAAAGTTCGACCTCGATTAATTAGTGAGACTAAAATTTATAGACGAACTAATCACGTATAGGATAACAGGTCTCGGATTTTGGCGCGAAATTCACTCATTCATTTGGCTAAATAGAGTTTTGGCATTATAGCTGGTGTCGATTCGTGATGAAAACCCTAAATCTAATTTCTAACTTTAATAATTAACTTTAAATCATAATTCTAATTCTTCACACAGGTTTATAACCCTCATTTGGTACTGATTATTAGGTGGACACTCAAGGTCAGTCCAGCGTCATTCAAAGGTCGTCCATAATTTATAGTCTCACCGACTAATTCTTGATACGACGTGACTCAACTGCTATTATTGTTATTGTTATCGTTAAATAAAATTAATTTTTTAAAGGAAAATACGGCAAACTATCCCGAAAGAATAAAACAAGCATTGCATAATCTGAAAAATACCTCTTTTATGCATCCACGAACACAACTCAGCGATGAAGTAACAATAATTTGTTCTTCAAACTGATCTATGTGAACAAATGGACACTAACTTGATTAAGATAACGTGTGAATCTTGAGTAAGAAAGCGAAGTGTGTGGAAAGTTTTTTGTAACCTTATAATTCAAGTTAGTCCGTATGTAAGTATGAAGTAAACCGATCAACCAATAGAGGAAGTTTACCTTCCTGTTCAGACTCAATTGAGGAAATTCGGGGATGCCAGGGCAATCAGGCTATCTTATGGTTGTTAGCCTAACGCTTAAATTCCTGGACTACAGCTGCATAGTAGTAACCTCAAATACAACATCTTTTGTATTTCACTGTAGTTGTTGGTAATATCGACAGTAGAAAAGATATCGTCGATAGACAAACAAATAACTGACTAATGAACTCAAATGCAATGCAATTACTAATTACATCAACGTAATTGAATGAAATATTCAGTTATAACTTCATCTGTTGATTTTGTCCCGTTTTGTTTTTTCCGCCCCCAAATGCCCTGGTACGGCCGAGAGTGGGGAGAGTCCGCTCTCCCTCTCGAAATGCTCTCACATGGCCATGCGTATATAGCCCCTGCCAGGGAAGTCCTACTCACTGCCTTCTCGTGGCGGGGGTGTTGTTTACAAAAATGAGAAGACGAAAAGCGAATGTCTGGCGCTTTAACCGGACCCCAAACCAATGGTGCACATGGGCTCCAGTATCCTGAAGGAACAAATGGCGTATGAACCAATCGTTGGTCACCGGCTACCATGGGACTGCATCTCCTCACGATGCTCCACTGCCTTGTGGGTCAGACGTTCAGGTCAAAGGCTCGGGGTTTGGCCCCCTAAGACAACCACCTGCTTCGGTTTGGGCACCCGGGCAGTTTCACAGCCCTCACACAAATCAATTGAGATTTGTGTGGCGCATATGTATTTTGGTGCCTCCCTGTACCTATACTTATGTGTTAAAATAAATAAAATAAAATATATTTTTACCAACGAAACATCTTATTCAGTAACTTACGACATGTCAACTACAAGTCCAGTTGTAATACACACCCTGAACTCAGGTGGATTTTTATCAGCGAAATCCTATCATAATAAAATTCATCGTTTTCACACTTTTGAAATATATCCCAAAGGTACTTATCATTTCTGTTTTAATCAAAATATTCAAGCTTGTTGGTTTTATGATCGTTATGGTAATTCAACAAATACAATGCAACGTCAGTCGTCATGCTGTCATATGGTTCGTTTAAACGGTCTCATCAAATCTGTAAGCATGTAAGTTCCTTTCAAGCTATTTTACATTGTGTAAAGCTATAATCACTCTGTAAATTTTCTGAAAGTTGTCAGTTTTGCTTTGCTTTGACGAATACCCATTCTTTCTTAGCACTTGTGACATAATGAGAGACTTCTGGGTTGGTTTTGACATACATCAATCTAAAGGACAATAATCATATTAATATTGTTTGTTGCTAGACAGGATTGTTCGAAGGTTCCCGCCCCCTTTGGATTAAATCCTTAGGCTCTAATAGTGTACTAGTTTATGCTTGTCTCTATCTACACTCAAATAAATGCGAAAAATGGGGGCACGATGTATTGCATGTTCAGTCCGCAAACGAAATCACCAAGTTCATATTCAAACAGTAATTAGCTTGACAGAATGGAAACGTGTTTTGCTTTAATGTAACATGGAGAACTACTCAGGCTATCATATGAAAAGTAATTAAAACAGTTACTAATCTGCCACCGGAAGTCACTCATATCCGACAGATCACTGTAGCCTCATCTAAACTAAGTATTGCACAAAGATCCGTTTCATTTAGTTTGGAATACAAAACACAGTTTGTATTCAGGTTGACAACGTTGATAAAATGATTGTGTAGAAAGATGACTGTCAAAGGTGTGGATAGTGGACGGTTTATCGAACTTATTTAGAAACCAATGAAACAATGGCCAACATACCAGATTGTCACTAACCTCTGGGAAAGTTGGTCATTCAATGGAATTTGCAAATACGTATCCTTCAGGTCTATTTTAAAAAAGTATAGAATATGGGATATATGGGAAATATGGAATATCCTCAGCTTCTTCGGTAGTACAACTCTGTTGCAATACCTGAGTATTTAATGTGAAGCGGTAATCATCACATATTCTAGGTGTTTTTCTTTCCACATTTAAGTGAGTACTTCAACCGGACGACAAAACTGAGATTATTATCCTCTGTCCAACCAGTTTGCCTAGCTCATTCTTCACAGCCTCTCTCAAATCATATATAATTAGTCTACACTTCAAGAATACAGGTTCTCCCTTCACTCATAAGTTTGCTGGGTGAGTTTTCATACCTCCCACGGCCTTCTAACATTGCAAGACCAGATTTTTGGTTGCAATACTGTCAGAATAACCAGTGCACAAAAAGTGCGTGCGTCCAGCAATCTTAGGTTCTTTAACCCTAACTCAGATGGGCCATATCCAATAACTAGTAAAGGAATATTGACACAACTACCCTCTTTCCTTAATGGAATATTAAGTGTACCAATAATTGGTAAGTGATGGCCAGTGATCCCAGTTATTCCACTACTTGTAGGTTTTAAGTGGACACCATTATAAAGAAACAACAAATTTCTCTTAGAAATAGTCGAATCTGACATCATTATGAACAATAAACAAAGGAGACATGCCTGTGTTTGCAATTAATTTTTGTATTACATTTAACGTACTGCTGCAGTCTGTAGTAAGCGGCAGAGAATCCGTCCTTCTGTCAGAGTCAGGTGATCTTGATTCAACATCATCCAATGTTTTAGTAGTAAATAACTTGGAAATTTTTACAAAACATTTGTGTATATCCAGCCGTCCTATATTTACAGCAACGTACATAGCAAAACTGATATGAACTACGAAGATGCAGTTCACCATATGAGTGACGGGGTTTAATACCCAAAGATAAATTAAAAGTGCTTGTCGAATCATTCACTTGTCTGAATGGAACTGTTCCTGTTTGAGGTTTCTGCAGCATTGAAGATTTTTTCACATTCGATAACAGGGAATCATAATATTTCGTAAGAGCATCACGAGGATCATTATTAACATCTTCATAAGTAAAATAGAGGTCTTTGTCTGCCTGAAAGGTACTGAAAAGCATTTGTATAATCTTCTCTAGTTTAGAATTATGTATACCAGCAATCAGGCGGCCACGAAATCTGATGTGCATCTGTTCACCGAAATTGCACTTAGAAGCTTGTATCCGAAGCTGTATTGTAAAATCTCTAATAGTCTGGTTCGGTGCACGAACTAATTTGTTGAACTGTGCTGGCATGTATTGTAAACGGTTTGACATGAAAATGAACGGTTGGTAATCTCTTAAGTTTGTTGAACGGAAGTAGGATAGGTTTACCAGGATGTGCAAGATTCATTAACAAACTATAGGCTTTTCTATCGATAGCAGTAATAATGTGGTGTGTAATGCTATCTTCCTTGAAGTTATGTGACAAACACCAAGCATCAAAACATTCTAAATAATCCTCCACTTCTCTCAGGGACAAGTTAATGGACAATTACTCCAAGTTACTTGAATCCATATGTACTGTGACTCCAGGTGTGAATTTGAAATCACGTAACGAAATACTACTAATCACAAGTCTAGAACTTCGACAAGATACAAGCAAGAACTCAAATTTGAAGTGTGCAGTATGAAATTGTATTGTATTGTTGTGATATATTTAAACAACATAAAAGGTGTGATTGTATAGTAAATGCGTCAGTTATTCATCACACTAACGGTCTCGAATTTTTACTACTCTATTGTCATTTGATGCCAAGCTGAAACCGAAGGAAACTGGGTTGGTTTAAGACTTAAAACGTGGTCCATCGATTTGGTCTTCACCTACTACCAAATCTTTAAACGTCAATACACTGATAGATGCCTCACACTAATCACTCTCTTCGACTAGGTTATCGGTATAAAATAATACCAAATACAAGATTATTGACCAGAATAATAGGTTTTTACATCTTTTAAAATAACATGTTTCTATACAAACTCTTAGCACAAAAAGTGAACAATTAGGTTGAAGGAAATAAATTTAGTAGGTCATTTACTCTTCAATCAATCAAGATTCTACTGTTAGGTGTAATTGCCCCCAAATGTCCTGGCATGGCCAAGAGCGGGGTGGGCCCGCCCTCCCTCTCGAAATGCTCTCACACGGCCACGCGTATACAGTCAGTCAGTCAATGTAGGAGGAATAATAGGAATTAAAGAGGGAAGTTGAGTATGAATACAGTGGTCTTGAGTGCTGGTAGAGGTATGAGGGCCGTTATCAGTTCCCGGTTGCCCACACCGTGAAAGGGTTCTGCTGGAGGTACCTGAAAAGGAAATTGGGTTAGAGGTGTTCATAGTGACCTGAGAGCGTGACCGCAGTGCCCAAAGGACAGCTGCTTGAAGTCGGTCACACACGACCGATACTGGCTTCTCGTGGCGAGGGTGTTGTCTACGAAAATAAGAGGACGAAAAGCAAATGTCCGGAACTTTAACCGGATCCCAAACCAATGGTTTACATGGGCTCCAGTATCCTGAAGGAACAAATGGCGTATGAACCAATCGTTGGTCACCGGCTACCATGGGACTGCGTCTCTTTACGATGCTCCACTGCCTTGTGGATCAGATCTTCATGTCGAAGGTTCGGGGTGTGGCCTCCTAAGAAAACCACCTGCTACGGTTTGGGCACCCTTGCAGTATCATAGCTCACACACAAATAAAATTTCGTGTGGCGCATATATATTTGGTACTTTCTTGTACTTATATTAGGTGTAATTCTATCCCACCATATTTTCTTCGTCATAGACGGGGGTTATCTCATGTGTTGGAATCAGGTTAAGAATATTTGGTCTGTGTTCTTCACCTAAGTGTAAAAAAGCTATCATCGATTACACTATATTAACTTTTTACTCACCTGTAGAGCTTGATGATTTATTGCTTCTCCTTTATTTGTCTCCTTTTACTTATATCTCTCACTATTTAACGTGTTTTATTTGTTTTTTGATTTTCCAATTTTTCAGGTATTGTTATGAACTGTTGGGAATCGAACCGATTCCTTTCTATACGATATCTAAATTGTTACATTTCTCTGCTCATTTTTTGTACCCTAGAGATTTGATTGTGTTTAGAGATAGCCAACAGTTCTATTCTATATTAGACTTTTCAACAAAATATGGCTGTAGTTCAGTGAATTTTTGTATTCACGAGGTCCTACCAACCGACTACTCATAAAATAGAATGTCGAATCTCTATAACCAATCTTGCAGCTGTTCATTTATGTATGAAACTGATTTGTTGAAAGAATCCAGGGATTCAGCTCAGTAAAATTAACGAGCCCATAAATGCTTCATTTACAAAGAAAATATTATTTGCACAAAGATTAACCGATCTTACCCAGAATCCATTTGGAACGGCTGTTGTATTTTCAAAGCGTACATTAGCTTTAAGTTCGACTCAGTCTCACTGAAACAGTGTGACATAATTAACGAACTTTAATAAACCGATTCATACATTCAGGAGTTAACTACTAACTATCGAAAAATATAAAGAGCTCATGTGACAATAACGAGACTTGTTAAATCTATTCAATTAACAATCAAACAAAACAACTCCAACTAACGTGGTAACTTTTTTATTCTCTTTTTTTCTAATAGGGAGCATTTAAGATGCTTAAAGCAAACTTCTGTAGGTTATTCACAGCAAACGAACGGTCTGAAAAATTCATTTATATCTTGTGATCGGTTAAACACAACACCATTTACAAACACAAACATTCCAGTTGGGTCACGTTCATCTGGAGATGGTCAAACAGATGATGAAGAGGAATTAAGCCGAGTTAATTACCGAATCACTCCTGACATTCAGTCAAAAATCAATTCAAATTCTTCAAATGAAGTAAAAGTTTTCCTAGGTAATGTTAATATGGATGCTAAGTGTGATAGAAAACAAAAATGGTATCATATTGCCAAATATTCTAAACAAATAACAAAAATACCGCGCTAATGAAAATAACCAATAATTATTAAGAAACCAAACAATATGAGCATAACAAGAATATAAGAATTATATTAATATTTGTCTACAGTCTACCTTACAGTTGTCAAAAAAATGTTTGGTGCTACATAGCACTAGTAAACTACGCGTATTCAGATTAGCAGTGACTTTTCCAGTATATGCGACGTGTCACTTTATTACTGATGAATCTACAATGATAAAATGGAGTTTTTTATAAAAGGAGAGTAAGCAAAGTGATGACTTAGTAATTACATCGCTTAACTTTCAATCATTTAGTTGAATTTCGAAACCGTATTGCATTTATTTTAGTTTGGAACCTGGATAGCATCACTTGATTTCGCTCACATTAAAGAGACAGCTCTTATCCACTTGTATAAGCTTGATCCTAGTTATCGAGTTGTATTAATTATGAAAACCAAGTTGATAGGGGTTGAAAATCTGCAACGACTACAATTGTTGATGCATATAATTCATTTTCACACAGCTGCTCACCTCCGATGATAATACCATGTAAACAGCTCCGGGGTCCAGCAGTGTGTATTCAGAAGTAGTGTGATAAATCAGTTGGTGTATTCACTTTAAAACACTGGATTCTGTGATTCGAATATATCTAAAAAGTCCCATTTCGGGGAGACTTTCACAGTGCCTATTATTTATGGACACCAGAACTGGATGGAAAACGCGGGAAGCCGACCTGTTTACGATGTGGCGCTGATGAATAAAAAAAGGGTTTTAGACCTGTATCTGTCAGCTCATCACTTCTTGGTTGTGTTCCCACTGATCAAACGACTAAGTGACTCGTCGCTATCATATGTGTTTTAAATAAAAAAAACTGGTTGGGATCCTTCTATGTATTTTTCCACCGCACTTCGTAAATGAAAGAAGAAACTAATTTTAAGAAAAGTGTTGTATTTTTCAGTAAATTCCTGCCTTGTTGAATAAAATATTTGTTCCTACTTAATTACTTACTTGCTTACCCCACATAAAGCATAGGTTTGACCTTTTTTATTTCTTTACAATGTTGTTGTTCCATTTTGTGTAGTCCATTTTATTTATGTCCTGTTGGTGGTGATTGGTAAACATCCATGTAGTTTCAGACTGTACGACTGATAATCATGTTAATTTTTACATTTGATATACTAGAAAATGAGTGTAACTTTTAGTACTCACTTTCTTCGAATCGTTAGTAGTTAGAAATGAATTTAATTTTTACTTTGATGAATTAAATAGCTTTAGAGTAATTGGAAAATCTTAATTTTCTCATTGTATTATTTGCATTACATTCTGTTTATTGAATTCTAAGTGCATCATTAATTTATACAATTATTACTCTTTGTTTAATTTCCAAAGGTTCTCAGTCCAATTTACATTCACCATCAAATTCTTTTACACACGATCAAATTAATACTAAACATCTACTTCTTCCAGGTCGTTCCGCTTTTGAAAAACATTTAGTTCGAGAAGTAGCGTACTTTGAAATATGTGAATTTTTAATTGGACAAATAGAAGAAATTTATGATATGGAAAATTGCGAGTTTTTGAATTCTGTGTATGGCGAAAAAAATAAGGACAAATCTTTACAAATTCCTACTGACTTTCAGGTACAATTATCATTTTGTATTAGTGAATAATTTAATTATTCACAATTATTATCTATGTTATAATTTGTAGTAACTTTTTTTAAAGATAGATATGCCTGTTTAAATTGTTAAGTCTGAATTGATTTTACATTAATTTTACTTTCGAATGTTGCCTTATGCATATTATGTGTGTCCAGGTAAAACTTTGTTTCACATACATGTACTACTTTCTTGTCTCTCTCACTACTAAACCAAGAAATTATTGCTAATGAATTTCATTTTAAACTAGTTATAAAGAGGCGATAGATGTATTTTTATTTAGTTAAGAAAACTTATCTGATGTAATTACTATTTACAATATAACATTGACAAATGCCCAATCTACACCATCGTATTTTAAATTGTTTATCCTTAGTTATGACATAGGCTAGTCATTTACTTCGCAAAAAGAGATGAGTGCTTTCTGAAGTAGTAATAGTATCAATAGCCTTTATACATGCTCATTTATTTATTTATTCATTTTAACACATAGATATTGGTACAAGGAGGCACCAAATACATATGCGCCACACAGATCTCATTTGATATGTGTGAGGGCTGTGATACTGCACGGGTGCCCAAACCGTAGCAGGTGGTTTTCTTAGGAGGCCACACCCCGAGCCTTCGACATGAAGATCTGATCCACAAGGCAGTGGAGCATCGTAAAGAGACGCAGTCCCATGGTAGCCGGTGACCAACGGTTGATTCATGCGCCATTTGTTCCTTCAGGATACTGGAGCCCATGTTCACCATTGGTTTGCGATCCAGTTAAAGTTCCGGACATTCGCTTTTCGTCCTCTCATTTTTGTAAACAACACCCCCGCCACGAGAAGGCAGTGAGTAGGACTTCCCTGGCAGAGGCTATATACGCGTAGCCATGTGAGAGCATTTCGAGAGGGAGGGCGGACTCTCCCCACTCTCGGCCGTACCGGGACATTTGGGGGCAATACATGCTCAAAGTGCGATTGAGTAAACGAACTTCTACATTTGATAATTGAGTTCCATAAAACTAAAATAAAATACCTGACTCACTATTGTAATTAATATTCCATAATAATCGATAATCCAAATTTAAAATTTTTTCGTTACTTTTTATTTTCATAATTATGTTAACATTAAGTTAGCCATAAATCTTCAAACATGTCTAAGTTTTCTTGTTTTGTTCTGTGTACAAGTTAACAATAATAATAAATATTATAATGTATGTAAACATCCTTTACGTTGAATAAGTTGGACCATTAAAATTTTTTAAAGGTTCACAAATCGAATACTTTACCTTCAAGTCTACTCTCGTCACATATGACTTTGGTGGATGTTACTGACCAAAATTTACGTAGTCCATTAATCAATTCAACATTGCATAGTCAATCTAGAGAAACAGATTACTGCGAGCATTGTGTAGATAGCGCGACTGGACTTGCAGTTTCACTAGTCAATGCGTGTATACAAAAAACTGCTCAAAACGAAAAACAAGAAATGATTTTGTTTAAATTTTTAAAATTACAAGAACTACTTCTCAAGACTAGTGATATTAACTGGGTTCGTTTAAATCAGCAGTTTATTGAATCTCCGAGACCAACGAGGTTTAATTATGATACTAAATTTCAAAACTTTCCCGAAAATAATCGGCTATCAAGTACATCTAGTAATTCAATACAACTCAATTCTCAGGGGTAAGTGTTTGTTTTCCCATATTGCATTTTGCGAAACTTAGCGACCTCTGGGTGTGTTCATTTAGCTAATATTCTAGATTGTGACCCAAAGTTGTCCTTATGTATGTGCTAAGATGGATCTGGAATAAAACTTACTAAATTAATACTATAATACACCATGCCAAATTAGAATGTACCCACAAATTAACGTGATTCGGTTTCTAAATTTTATGTATCGCTATGGCCTTCAGCCACACTTCGGTTTCCCACGATCTCCAATCTACCTGAATGGCAAGTTAATGTAAGTCCTCCGACTCTTTACGAAGTTGAAAAAGCTATAGGAAATCTGAAGCGTGGGAGAGCATCGGGCCTTGACAGGGTTACCCCTGAGATTTTTAAGGATGGTGGTCCAGTATTAGCAGCGAGATTGACTGAGGTCTTAGGTAGAATTCGGGAACTGGACATAATCTCATCTGACTGGTCTCAATCACTGATTGTGCCAGTCTATAGGAAAGGACAAAAGTCTTGTGACAATCACAGAGGAATTAGTTTGACTAATATAGTGTCTAAAATATTAGCTTCAATAATACTTCAACGCCTAACCAAAGCTCGTGAAGAGCAGACCAGAGAAAACCAGGCTGGTTTTCGACCTGGACGTGGTTGTAAAGACCAGATATTCACACTACGTCAGGTCCTAGAACGTGGACACACATTCAGACGCCCCACAATGGTAGTATTTCTCGACCTTAAGGCGGCATTTGACTCTGTTGATCGTGAGGCTCTATGGCAGTGTTTGTCACTGAAAGGAGTACCAAAGAAGTAAATTAACCTTATAAAGGCTTTCTACTCGAACACAACTGGTCGAGTGAGAGCTTATGGCGAACTGTCATCAGAATTGATTACCTCAAGTGTTGTTGGTCAGGGCTGTCCACTCTCTCCATTCTTGTTTAACTTTGCCGTTGACGTCTTTTTAGAAATGACACTTTCCTCATCTAAATTTCCAGGGGTTGAACTTCTACCGGAAGATCCACTTGTTGACTTAGAGTATGCCGATGACATAATTCTATTTGGTGAAGACGCTGACAAAATGCAGTCTGTTGACTACTCTAAGCAACCATGCAGGTATGTTCGGGATGCGATTCTCGCTCTCAAAATGCAAAATGTTGCTTCAGGATTGAGTTGCATCGACACCCGAACTAGTGATAAGAAGTGAAGTAGTCGAGTGTGTCGACCGCTTCACTTATCTTGGAAGTCTCATCAACCCTTGTGGTCTGGTGTGTGACGAAATCTCAGCACGGATACAGAAGGCTCGATTAGTTTTTGCCAACTTGCGTCATTTGTGGCGTAGGCGAGATATCCATCTATCAACCAAAGGACGGGTTTACTTCGCAGCAGTCCGTTCCGTCCTACTTTATGGCAGTGAAACATGACCGGTAAGAGTAGAGAATATTCGTGGGTTACTAGTATTTGATCATAGATGTCTTCGAAACATCGCTCGTATATCCTGGGACCACCGAGTAAGTAATGCAGTTGTTAGGAAACAGGTACTAGGTAAGGATGGCAAATCAATTGAGGAAGTAGTGAAACTCAATCAGTTGAGATGGCTGGGACATGTGTTACGTATGCCTGACCACCAACTGCCCCGACGTGCGATGTTTTATGGTGTAGGAGTTGGTTGGAAGAAGGCTAGGGGCGACCAGACCAAAACATGGCACAAATCCATGAAGTCACTGACAAATGGACTGAGCCATGTTGGTAGATGTAGACTACCTGGTTGGGGTCCGCGAGATGATAGCAACCGATGGTTGGAGACCTTGAATGACATGGCTGAAAATCGTTTGCGATGGTGCAGGTGCATCCACTCCTTGTGTTCTCCCAAATTCTAATCTTTTGAATTCTTCATGTCCTCTATTTTCTTTTTAAATCTATTCCACTGGATTATATAACATCAAACCTTAATTTTTCCTATCACTACTTATACTTTTACTACCTCCACCACTACGGGATTTGAATCGATAACTGAATCTCTGTGCTAATGTGGTATGGTAACTCGAACTGATGTACATACTTACGAAGTTCCACGTTGTTACTGACTGACTGATCGCTATGTTGCATTGTTCTTACTTGTCTTCAGATATTTTTAGAACAGTTTTTTAAAGATCTTGCCCACCACCTACCTACCATGCTTATTATCACTCACCATTAAGGCATATTTATTATTTTAAATAAATTTAGACTCATTCTAAATTCTGGACCTTTGTAACTGAGCATCTTAATGAAAACTTGAGATTGGATTTTCTCGAAAAATCTGATTTACAAAGGCTAATAAACAACTAACCTTTAAATCACAAGATTTCTTCTTCATGTATTTAACATTGGATAACCAACTATATTTTATACGATAATCAAACTACAACATTATAGGTTTCTGTTCGTTTATAAATGATAACAGCAGCTAATGCTTAGACGTTTGGTTTTCATCATTTGCCAATAAATCGATTTGTTATCCAGTTAAAAGTAATGTTACCTTGATGATTCAGAAACTTATTTTGTTTGGTTGATTTAAGGTATATGTGACTTGATTTAAAATATTATCCAATAGAAACACTACCATTCAATTTTTCGAATTGTTTTAAGATAATAATTAAATCCATAAGATAAATTTTTCTGTGTGATATTACATCCTATAAATGTTCTTTAGAAAATTTTAGGAGACTGAAACATTCCCTGAATTGTTCTCATGCAATCCGTCTCTTTTAGAAAATCTCGGTAATCATTCATCTGTATTATTTCCTAGTTTGATTGATCAAATACCGAAATTATTACCTAACATAAGTACATTTTCCAATAACCATTAAAATTCAAAGATCGTTCATAAACAAATCAACGGTCTTTGACTTCTGTAGCGCTAAATTAACCTTGAAAGCGAACATGTGACATTCCTATCTTCTAATTCAAGAATCCTGGGTTTTTAGCAGCCAATAGGTTATGCCCCGAAAATGCCCTGGTACGGTTGAGGGTAGAGAGTCCTTTTTTCCTCACTAGGCCTCGCGTATACAGCCACTACCAGGGAAGTCCTACTCGTTTCTTCAACATAAGGAATCCTTCATGATTGTTTTTTCCCAACTGGAACTGCTTCTCTCTCATTATTATTATTACTTCACTATAATACACTACTTTCTGTTAATTGTTGCTCTTTTATTATACTCACCCTCCATTCTCTATCTCTTCACAACCTCATCGTTATTGTATGACGCATATGTATTTTGTGCCCCTTTATACCAATGTTTATGTGTTCAAATAAATAAATAATAAATAAAATGATAGATCAGGAAGTCATTGCCACAAGTGTTCACCGTTTCAAGCGCAACATTTACATACGGATATCGAAGCCCATAACATAAGTCACACGTCCGAATTTGACTTCATTCCCTTTAGTTTGAATACCCAGTAAATATCACTAGCTTCCACAAAAACAGAATGTTTCGAAGTCAAATAAATAGACACATATATGGTTAATGAGTTACACATGTTCTACTTTTAGCTATTTAGCCTACATATTCATAGTTGCAATTGTGTTTAACATGTTTCCTCTTTTATTATTCCATTTTAAAAATTTTTGTAGAAGGTGGAACACATTTCATCATTTGACTTCATTATCGCAGTCAAGTAATTCACAAAGAGCTATGAAATCAATCTCACAATCTGATTATTCCCCTTCAGTGTTAACCTCATCTAGTTCATTTGTTAATCATTCAACAACGCTTTCAAAACCTACTATAAATAAATTAAGTAATAATTCAACTATTATCATAGATACAGTTTTGAAGAATGATAGTAGTAATAATAAGGATAATCATGCTAACAAAAGGTCGTTAATTTCTTTAAATAAAGATTTTCAATTATCGGATAAAATTAGATCCGATAATCAAGACTATTCTACATCATCATTTTCACTGTCATCAGCGTTTGGCTGTACACCTTTACCATATGGATTGTTGATCAATCCACCTATCCAAAAATCTAAGTAAGTATAGTTTTATTTCAATGTTTATGTTTGCTGTATGCAATGGGAGAGTTATTCAGGGAAAAAATGCCTTAGATCACCTTTATATTATAACAATTAAAGATAAAAGAAACATTAATTTCAAACTATTGATACACAACTTGTACTGGTTATCTGACTAGTGGGTTAGCGTTATTATTATCATCAAGTATTTCGACACAATTTATGTAACGTGTTTGTTACTCATACCAACAGATTTTCCACACAGTAGTCACAGCTTTTCTTTTTGAAACCAATACTAAGGTTACTTTGTATTGGAAAAGTTATCAATGAAGAAACATGATGTCTTCTTGTCTGGAAAACACCTCAAATCTATACTTCCAAGTATACATAATTTCTTTCCATTCGGTTATTTAGAAAGCCATTCAGAGAATTGTCTCACACATACTTCAACCTGACTATATTAGCCTTTGAACTCTTTTTGAATGGATTAATACAGCTAAGACATAAGTAATTGTTTATCATAAGTGTTTAAACATTTAGTTGTATTTAGTTATATTTTTCCTTTTAATACTAGAAAGTATGCTTCGAATATTTTAAACTTCACTACATTGATGATATTTAAATAGAATAGTTATCATTTTAATTGAATGACTTTTTCATTTGATCATTTTTCTACACGTAGACGTAAAGGAGTTCTTGTTAGTCAAAATAACCGATGTGCCGGCTGCGGTGCCTTCATTGAAACTCGTAAGTTCTTCCTCAGTTGTTGATTAGTAATATTCAAGAAATAAATGTGCTTTCTTTTCATTTTCCTTAAATAGTGTTTATTCTATACTTTGATATTGATAAATCCATCATGAATACTGAACCATTCTGAGGACTGCTAAATGTGACAACGAACAATGTAAATGTCTGCATGTATATCTTTCATGTAGATCGTTGACAAGTTTTACTAGTCGGATTAACTTTTAACCTGGTTCAGTTCAGACTTTTCAACCTTCATATTACTTACTTACGCCTGTTACTCCTAATGGAGCATAAACCGCTGACCAGCATTCTCCAACCCACTCTGTCCTGTGCCTTCTTTTATAGTTCCATTCAATTCTGGTTCATTTTTCTCATATCTATCTCCATTTCTCGGCGTAATGTGTTCTTTGGTCTTCCTCTTTTCCTTTGGCCTTGAGGATTCAGCCTTCATATACCAAAACAAAAAACAATTAGAGTTTTCTATGTAACTGGATTGTTTTGACAGATCGAATTGTGAGAATTAATACCTAGTTGGAGTGATTTGATAGTTCGAGCGTTTGTCTTTAACTCTTTGGGTCGAAGGTTTTATCCGCACACCCATTTTAGTTTTAACAGGTTGATAACATCTGTAACCCTTACATCAAAAGTGTAACCCAAACTCGAGTACATGAACTTGTATTTTGTTATTGAGTTACATTACAAGAATTATTTCGTGGTACTTCTGTGATGTGTACTACCTATACGGACAGATATAAGTGGTATGAATCAGGTATTGGAAGTAGAATACTTAATGAAGGTGAAAATGAAAAGAAGAGAAAGGTAAACTGAGAGCAATCGAAATAACAACAGGAATGAAAGAACGATTAAATGAAAAATGTGCAAATAGTGTATTTGATGCATAGTTTACATATTTTACAAAATCACATTAATTTTGCACAATATAACTGATTTATCCTGCCCAAGTCTTCGCTCATTACATTTCAACTACCATGACATTTGTCTTGACAAGCTAGTCTCTTTGTGTTGATATGCTTTAACAATCTGAACCGGTACACATATGTGCTGTGTTCTATGTTACTTATGTCTGACTGACTGGTACATATAAATTCACGTAGGTCAGTGCTAAATGATAGTGACGATATCTGTATTCTGTCGGAAAGCATAAGTTATTATTTGCTGATTCATTAAGTGAACTGTAGTTAAATTTTCACTCAAACAAAGAGTGAACAAATCTAATCATTTATGGATTTGAGGTTCCACACCGTTTAACCCCAAGTTGAAGCGAAACAACTGTAGCTCATTGACTAATACCAATCAATAATAAAAACATCTTGGTGGCCTGCATTAGTGTTTTTACTCTGTAGTAGTTTTCCTAATGTTCAGTATTTTTAAGCAGAACATTGATGTAACTATCGAGTTTCGTTATTATTTATAATTGCTTACTGTTTTGTTCTATCCATATTTTTTTTCAGGATATCTTAAAAGAATGCGTTTTTGTGAATTTTTTGGTCGTTACTTTTGTTGTGTTTGTCATTCGAATACACTTATGACTCTTCCTGGTAATTTAGTGACCTGTTGGGATTTTCGTATGTTATCAGTCAGTAATTTTGCACGTGATCGACTTCGTCAGTTGCACAATCAACCTTTATTAAGAACAATCGATTTTAACAAACAAGTTTTAAACCGTCAGTCTAATCTTTTGAATTGTTTGACTTTACGTAAACAAGGGAATTTGATGCTACCATTTATTCAACGGTGTCAAACAGGTTTGTTGTTGTTTTAACTAGACAAAATAATTTCCGTTGTATATTTGTTCACTATGTGATTAAAGTTTGACTTTGATGAAACTCTTCCACAGAAAAAATGTAAAATCTAGTAGGTAAAGCTGATAACTATTTAAAAGTTCAATAATTTCGATCTTACTGTACATTATTATTCTTACCACCCTATCTATAACATAAAATAACATGTCCCATTAATAATAATAAGCTTTACAGTCATTGGTAGCTAGTTCTTGCATCATGAGGCAAGCCCTAACTTGAAATTCTGAAATCGAAAGTAGAAGATGCGGACTAATGAACACATTACGCCGAGAATAGGAAGCAAACCTGAGAGGAATGTATAATACGGAAACGACTAGAAAGGATAGTCTAGGATAGAGTTGGTTGGAGAATCCTGGTTGACGCCCTTTTCTCCCTTCACGAGGGGCAACAGACTTTAGTAGGTAATATTATTTTCTAAGTGAAAAGGTTTTGTAGAGATCGGTTCAATTTGTAAGTTGCATTCATCATCACAGATTAATCTCAGTCAGCGTACCATTGAAAAGCAGAGATGGCAAGTAATGTTTAATATTTTACTTCTATTTCTGTATTCGATTTTAGCTCAACAATTAGTCGATTTTACTTCTATACCAAGTCATTGGTTCGAAACACCAAATTTATGGAGTATGGCTGATTTACATTCTGTACATGATGGAAAGTTATCAATAACTTTACGTGCATTACTCTTACCAATAGTAGAGCATATATCAATATGTAAACGATGTTTAGCTTGTGGCTTTATTTGTGAAATATGTAAATCTGGTCAAATTCTTTTTCCATTCGGTCAAGTAAATACCACAATATGTTCCGGTTGTTCAGCTTGTTTTCATCGTGCATGTTTAAATTCCCCGAATCCGGAAACATGTCCAAGGTGTATTAGACGTGCAGTTAAACGGGAACAATTAATTTGAAAAGACGTTATTAGTTTTATTGGTTTACTTTTTGTAATATGTCTACCCTCTTGTACCCCCTCCACACATGTACATCACTGACAACCTCAATATTTCACTCCATTTTATCATCGCAATATCAAAACAGAATAATGATCAATCCCTGCGTTTATTTTGTTAATTGCAGCTAATTATTTTTCATTACTGTAAAGTTGACATGAAACTTGCCATAAAAATCAGTATTTTATTTTCGACGACACACTATTCATTTGAACAATAAACTTTTATTCTACGACTAATATTTTTAGTTATCAAATTTTTGTTAATCTTTCTCTTTATTTTCTCAACTCAGAAGTTTATTATTATTATTATTATTATTATTATTATTATTATTATTACAATTTTTCTACTGCAGTTTATTACGATACGTAATGAAAACAGTTAATCGCTATTTATTAATTGATTGAAACATCGAAAAAATGGATGATGACTAAGTTGGTTTTTCTCCTACTTTCATGTCTTTCTAATCTTTTTATAACTTACTTCACACACGTAATATGGTATACTCGATTGTCCTTAAAAAAACTGTGCAAACTAGATATTATCGACCTTCTTGAATATAATCCAAGTCTGTGTTGTTTTATCTCTATATGATTGGTGATGAACTGAAACATTATTTGTAAGATGTTAATTTCATGAATTTTGTGTGGGAATAATATAATTAATTTGCCCACTACAGGTCATTTCATTATGAAGGCTAAGTTATAACATTTTGCGCGGCTTCTGAAACTGATGTAATTAAGATGAAATTCCCATCTGCAATCTAGGACATGAAATTTGAGTGGTTTAAATAAGAAGCTACCGCTTTATATGAGAGTGATACTTTCTCAAAGATACAGACCTATTATACGAGAATTAATCACTAAAAATTAGTTTTATGTCTGGTTGATTATGTCAAACTCCACCTGTAGTTCTTCTAGAGCAACTACCGCTCCTCAGCCCGGAGAGATGTTGTTGTGCTCGAATCACGAAGAAGAAACTGCTCCACACACTCAGGGAGTTGCTCTTATGTTATCCAAAGAAGCTGAAATTATTCAGTAGTGCTCAGGAAAGTACTTGACCATCCTGATGGGATACGTAAACGCCAAAGTCAGAATAGGCAATACCGGGTATGAAGATATCATGGGGCGACATGGACTGGGAGAGAGAAACGAAAACGGGGAGAGATTTGCAAATCTGTGTGCATTCAACAAATTGGTCATACGTGACACAATATTCCCACACAAACGCATATACAAAGTTACATGGGTCTCACCGGATCACACCACGGAAAACCAGATAGCTCATATTTGCATCAGTAAAAAAATTCAGTTTGACGGAAGACGTAAGAACTAGGAGAGGAGCTGACATAGCTTCAGATGACCACCTGGTTGTTGTCAAGATGAAACTAAAGCTAAAACACACTGGACAACTGGAGAAATAGCACTCAAGACGTCCAGTACAGCCTTCCTTCGTCACACTGACAAACAATGAATTCGAGATAGCTCTCAATAAAACGTTTCAAACCTTATAGTGTCTACTGAAAGAATAAGAAACTACCATGGAGGACTACTAGAAAAGGATCAAAGACGCACTGATTTCAACGTGTCAGGAGGTGCTGGGTCGCACGAAGTATCATTATAGGAAACAGATCTCTACGGAAACCCTGAACACGATTAAAGAAAAAAATTAAGACATCTGAACAAGAACAGAAAAAGTCAAGGTACCAGCCGAATACACAGACGCAAAGAATTTAGTGAAGATGGACATTAGGGCCGACAAGTAGAAAAAAGGGGAAGACCTAGCAACGACATTATAAGAAGCTGCAAGAGAAGGAAATATGAGACAACTCTGTGACACAACGGAGAAATTGTTAGGGAAACATAGTAAACCTGAGCGACTGGTGAAGGCGAGTTAATTACTGAAATTCAAGAACAGAGGAACACATGCGTAGAACATTTTAACGAACTCTTGAATAGACCAGATTCATTGAATGTATCGGATACCGAAGCAACACACACATCTTCCTATAGAGGTCACTCCACCAATCAGGATCGCCGTCGGACAAATCAAGAGCGGGAAAGCAACAGGACCTGACAATATTCCAGCCGGAGCACTAAAACCAGACATAGGTGTAACTGCAGACATGCTCTACGTTCTCTTCAGGAAGATTCGGGAGGAAAACCAAGTGCCGGCAGACTGGAAACGACACTTCACCAAGATACCAAGGAAAGCAGATCTAAGCAAATATGAGAACTACAGAGGCATCACACTACTGTCAGTACCAGGGAAAAGTTATCGACAGAGTGTTGCTGAACCGGTTGAAAGATTCAGTAGACGTCTGACTTCGAGATGGACTGGTCAGATTCCGTAAGGATCGACCAGATCACGACATTACGGCTCATCGTTGAATAAGTCAACTGGATGGAACTGATCACTACACATCGTCTTCCTTGACATTTGACAGTCTTGATAGGAAAACCTAATGGAACGTTCTTCGATACTATGGTGTGAATAGCTGAGAAAATTGTCAACATCATACGGAATTCACACAATAGACTACACTGAAAAGTCGTGCATGGAGGACGGTTGTCAGACGCATTCCGTGTGATGACTGAAGTCAGACAAGGCTGTTTGCTCTCTCACTTTCTCTTTCCTCTGGTGGTTGACTAGATCATGAATACCTCCACATTTGAGGGGAAGCACGGTATACAATTGACAACTCGGAATCAACTAGACGATATGAACTTCACTGATGACTTGTTTCTCCCATTCCATACACACCAACAAATGCAGATAAAGATAGCCAATGTAGCAGCAGCCTCTGCGTCAGTAGGCATCAGTATATACAAAGAAAAAACCATGGTCCTTAAACACATTACGGATGACACCAACCCAATCACACTTGATGGAGAGGCTTTGGGAGATGTGGAATCTTTCATGTACCTGGGAAGCATCATCGATGAACAAGGAGGATCGGATGCAGACGTAAAGGTAAGGATTGGTGAAGCAAGGTCTGCATTCCCACAGTTAAAGAACATATGGAACTCAAAACAACTGTCAACCAATCTCAAAGTGAGAATCTTCAATACGAACGTCAAGATAGTTCTACTGTACGAAGCCAGAACTTGGAGAACTACCACCCAAAAGTACAAGTATTTATTAACAATTGACTACATAAGATATTGAATGTCTGTTGACCGGATACCATCAGCAACAACCTACTATGAGAAAGAACAAACCAGCTTCAAGCTGAAGAGGGATTTAGAGAAAGATTCTGAAAACAGATAGGACATACATTGCGGGAATCATCAAACTGCATCATGAAGCAAACACTAACTTGGAATCCTGAAGGGAAAAGGAAAAGAAGACTAAAGAATACACTGTGTCGGGAATCGGAAGCAGGCATGAATAGATGAATAGCAACTGGAAAGGATTGCCCAGAACAGAGTCAGTCAGTCAGTCAGTCAGCTGCAACGTAGGACCAGGCACGTATATGCATCGGTCCAAGTTGCCATACCGCATTAGCACAACAAGATAAACACCGGATTCATAGGAGTAGTTAATTCAGTGGTGGTAATATATAGAAGAAAGATTGTGTATAAGGAGATAGTAAAGGAAGAAAGAATAAGTTCCTAGACAGATATGAAGCGATTTTAATCTCTTAATTTAGGGAAGACAGAGAGTGTATACACCGACGCCATTGTGATCGATTCTGAGCCATGTCACCAAGAGTCTCCAACCATTGGTTACGATAGTCACGCGGACCCCAACCAGGCAGTCTGAATCTCCCAACAGAACAGAGTTGAATGGAGGATGCTGGTGAGCGACCTATGCTCCTTCATTGGAGTTAATAGGCGTAGATGTAAGCACAATGAATTAAATTTAACAAGAGAAATCGCTATTTAGAAAAAGTAGTTACAGTCATCAGTGGTAGTAGAAAGAATTAGGAATAAGAAACGTGTTCGTGGAATAAAAGAAGTTTAAGAAAAGTTTGAAACTCAAGAATTAATGGGAGACAAAGAGTGAATAATTCTAAGCCACAACAACCAATTGTAAACCATGTCACGCATTGTCACCAACGATTAGTTACTACCTCAACCAGGTGGTCATCACATATTAAAACTGTCCAGTTCACTATTGAATGACATCATTGACTGATGTCACGTTTGGTCTACCCAATTCTAGTTTCTACTCCTCTACGTCGACAGACGTGGTTAATCAATGTTGGCAGTGGTTGGGCAAAAGTAATGCATGTCCGATTCACCTCATTTAATGAAGATTTACATCATTACCAACCGACTTGGCTTTATGCACTCAATAGTCCAAAGATACCTGTGATCAGATACTACTCATCTACACTTGTCCTCCATTCTTAATCATCAGGTTTCACATCCATGAAATAGAACAGCAAAAAGCTATTCAGTAGACTTATGGTTTCGTTGACAGACGGATATCTTCCCTACTTCACATGTAACGCAAGCTGGCATAGCCAACTGATTTTGTTAAACCCATCCCAAGTTTTCTTTGAATGCCAGTCAATTAGGGCTGAAGAGATTTTTAAAATAATTGTAGTCGACACATTAAACTACTTCTTTCTCTATCATTTATAATGCATTGACGCAAACCGGTGCCGAAGTTACATTTTGGATTTAGAGAGAGAATCTCACCCTAAACATCCTTTCATTTTTGTTTAAGGCGATCAAAAGGTACCACTTTGTCAGCATTTTCACCTAACAGAGTTATGTCATCGGCGTACTCCTGATCTACAAGCAAACCTGCTAGTGTAAAACTAGACGGTTGATGGGAGGAAGGTACATTTGATGTGAGAGGTTACAAAATATTTACATATTACATATACACAGCTTTTAACCCATTTACATATTTCGGTATGTTCTGCACTTTGAACCGTCTTCTCGTCTGGTTTCCACATGTGATGCTAACGCTGTACTTTCAACGTACTGAAACACTTCACTCCATCTGACAATAGTTGCAACATCGACATCACGTTGTGTTATATACTACTTGCAAATAATCTAGTGAACAGCGTCCAAAACAGTAGTAGGAGATCAATGTCTAAATACTTGGACGAGAGCGTTATCTCTGAAACTGTATGTATAACAAACTTAAATAAAATTTTAAAAAAGCACCACTGGAGGTTGGAAATTCCGATGACAGTTGACATTTGACCAGATGTGTTCAAACAGTCTTCGCGAAGTCGATATGCATCTTTAGTAGCCTATTTATTGATAGATACTGTTATAAAACCTGCATGCCAGAGGTATCAAATGTTACCTTAAAGACAAGAAATAACACTATATTCGGGCGTTGGTACGTACTTTTGTATTTCAGAATGTTATAATGGGCAAATATTTCATCCGTACATCCACATCCAGGTCTGAAACTAGCCTGATTTCCTCGCGTTTCCCATTGATGTACCGCACTTAGTCGTCAGACGATCATAATGTAATATAATTGTTAACTAACGAACAAAATGCAATCTATTTACGAGAAAATGATGGAGTACCAACTGGACTCCTTAATCAAACTCTCTGTAATCAATAAAAATTATTTAAAATAATGTCTTACACTACTAACAATTGCTTGTAAGTAGTCATGGTTTTTTTATTGAAACTAACCAACCTTTGCATTTATCCTCCGCAGTGAGAATTCATTTATGGCCAATAAAAACCAATGTTATTGAAACTTCAGAAATTTGAATTCATATGTCAGATCATGTATAGATAATATACAAACACCAAGTACTAGATAGGAGATTTTTAAAAATTTGTATTGTTAAATCAGCACATGAAAGTAAACAGTGTTCTCTTCCGGATGATCTAATTAGGAAAAGTATTATTAAAGCGCGTGTTGTTCCAGTTTACAATAGAAGGTTTTCTGATATGTTAACGTCATTACTATTCAAAACGGATTTTAGTTTCATTGAAATATACATTAATGACATTAGTTAATCTTATTACTTTTTATTCGATTATCATTTAACACATTAGATTTACCTAAAAAGTATTATCATAATTAAGTTGATATGAATAGATTTTTGCATAAATACTATAAAAATGTGTCGACAAAATTCTCTCGTTCACCTTTTATATTTTATTTGCATACAAGTAAAGTTCACAAAACAGTGATTTATCTAAAAAGCGGTTCTTTATTGAACAATTTAAATAAATTAGTTACAAATCTCTACTCGTGAGGTATCTGTAGCGTTGACCGCGTCTGAAAGTCTGAAATAAAAATAGGCTTCCTGTAATAATGAATAATTAAAACATACGATAGTGCATATGACGGCTGATTACTGTCTAAACTTGATAACAGTTTATCAACAAGCAAAAACTGAAGCAAGAACAAACAATAAATAGGGATTAAACGACTATACATAATTGCAAATAAATGCTACAACGATTGAGAGAAAGTGATTATAACGACAAGTGTTATAAGTATATGTAAATACTTTAGAATACTACACGAAAAACTTGCGCTACAACATATGCGTAGAAATTACTAGGAATCCAACTGTTTACTGAATATTAATAAGTAGTATAAAGCAACTTACAAAGGAGTCTGACTCCAATTAGATCGTATGTTGATCGCTATCGAAATAAACATTTCGCCAATCCTCGTATATAATCATCGAATTGAATCACGTTAGTGAATAACGGAACTAAATAAGTCAAATACGTGAACGAAGTTCCAATGTGTATATTTCATACAATCGTTGATCTTAACAGACAATCAAGGAGACGGAGAGAAACAAAACCAAATGACGCACAGTGGAGAAGGTAAGTGAGCCAACTCAAATCAGCCAAGCATGGATCGACATTTATAGTCAAATAGAAATAAGTTACGGACATGTGATGAATAGGATAAGAAGTGAACACACATCGCTTATATAAAAAAGTCATGATTAATAAGCGAATAATTAACAAGGTCAGAATATGACTCAAGACCAATGAGTAAATCGGCTTGTCCGGAAGCTAGAATAAGTTATATGGGATTAATATAGCAACCGACACTACAAAGGACAGAGAACGCGAACAGACTTAACAGTTTCAAACATAATTCGAAAGAACAAATTTAGGTATTTTTTCGACACATCAACTCCTTATGGCCATGATTCAGTTTCATCGTCAGTTTTAACTTGACATGCTTTGGGAGGCTAACCAGTACAGTCTCCATCATGAACCAATGTCTCTAAAGTCTTCATTGGTAGCCAGTGTTATTAGAAATTTTGTCTTCCAAGATTTCATAGCAACCTCCATTATTCTTCTTCACAGGACCCTACCCAAGACATTTGGAACTTATGACGAGTAGATCACTAATCATATATTGGTTCGAAACTCAGCAATCATTTTTTTTTCAAACTTAATCAGCTGAGAGTAAAATATGTCAAGACACGTCATAACCTATTATATAAGTTTTGAGTAGTGTTTCAGAAGGCGAAACGATAGCCAGTTAATTTATTTAATCTGCTTCTGTACTTATTTTCAGCTGTACCTTTTCTTCTCCTTTGTCAAGATTCACAGTTAGACAATGTTCTAACTGCACACAGTGTTATAATCATTACTGTTTTTAGCTTGTTATATTGTTTTATAGACCTAGTATTATATTCAAAGCTTTTATGCATGTCTTATACCGGTAATTATAAAATATCACTCATGGATTTATAACTTTAGAGTCTGATAAAATTGTTTAAACGATCATTCGCCGAAGGATTCTTCATTTCGAATAAATAATATTTCCAATCTATTATTTAACAACGGAAAAATACTTTTATCTGAAAAATAAAAATGTTAACATGATTACTTATTTTAAGTTGAAAGCAGATTCTAAGCTATTGAAAACATGTTACAATGAAGGTTAATTGCTAGAACAGTTTTAGGATATAGAGGTGAACAACCGACCTTTATTTAAATTTGGTTTGCATCCCTCTTTAACTGCATTTCTTATTTCATGATTGTCTACAGTTGATTAGTCATTGAATGAAATTTGCTGTTGAGATGGCTTGAGTGACCTTGATATTGATTAGGATTAATCATCACTCTTCTGTTACTATTACTTCCAATACATTAAACTGATTAACCAATTAGACGTTCGATATGCATTGAATTGATTGGCTAGTTGGGTTAGAGCGAAAGCATTTGTTATTGTAGCACTTCAAGATGGTCTCTTCTATGACTAACAAGCATCAAGAGCGTGTTACACACATGTAAGCACAACAACAGCATATTTTTTAATAACAGTTACCTTGGTGTACAAACTCGACGACCTCTTACAGACTACGAAAATCAAAGCCGACGTAGACTTACACCGCGAACCTGTTTGTAGTTAATCTCAGGAAGTTTAGTGACTTCCATCAATGTACAAGCAAGTTGGGAGCTTGTTCATCTTACAATGTTAGACGTTGATATTTTATGGAGGTCAGTCGGTAATATGAATGCGACGTCTGTTAACAACTTTCATACCTTGACGTACGATCTAGAAGGAACAGAAGTTGAAGAAACTATTATTGGTGGGAGTTCCACAGGAGAATTGCAAAATACTTTGGGCAATAATCTTAATCTTCGTTTGGCGAAAAAAAATCACGATGATAATGAAAAAAGGCAACCAAACTATTGGCCAAGTTCAACAGAAGAGTCAAAACAAAATGTTACAACTGAGCTTGTGAATAAATCTAATGAGGGACAATGGAATTTAATTAAAGTTCGTGTAGGTTTTGATGTTACACGTAAAGGTGGGTTCTGTGGTTTTTCCACTTCTCATATGTTAAGTAGGTGTTATAATGTCAGATCTAATTTCACTACTAATGGCTTATATTTACAAAATACAGATATTGTTGTAGCTATTATGAACCGGTTTATATTTATAAGGATTTGTATTTAGTTATCCATTCACTTGTAATTTGGCCATTCATATACTTGTCTGTAGTTCCAGTCTGAGGTATAAACTAGATGACTATAAAATGAAGTCGTTCGGTACTTACATATAGCTTTGATGAGGTAGTTGATATTTAAAATCTATTGCACGAAATTGAAAATTCTATCACGACTTATTGATTAAGGATATTTGTTTACATAACAGTTCGCTAAGTTATTCGACATTGCAGTTAAATGTTAGTTCATGTTCTAGTCGATCACGTTTCATCCAGTTCATATATAGCCTATAGTCTATTCAGTTTTAAATTTGAGTTTAGATTATTATTTGAGGTAGCGAAGAAATTTATTCCGTAACATGAACTGTTTGTTTGCATTCCTTGATTGAAAGTTTTCATCACTTAAATATGTGTAACATCCCTCTATTAGTTGACTTTTGTTTGATCCTTTGGTACATTTTTAGGAAAGCATGAAAGAAATTACACTTTATTTAAATAACTACACTCCATCTAATCAACATCAGGATACAAAAGACAAAAATAGAAAATGTTAGTTAATAATGAAATAAGCGCACAAGACGTGATTACGTTTTTTAATAAACACAACAAACAGCTGATATCCCCCCAAAAATGTAGTTTAGTTGAGAATATCTACAGATTAGGTAAACTATTGAATAGGCTATGGACTTTTACCCATGGTACAAACATATAGGTATAGGCTACTAAGTTTCGTATTATTCACTATGGTCAAAATGTAATTTGCAATCTTTGTATGCAAATCAAAGACTCTACGCACACCAATTAACATGGAAAATAACTTCTTTTTTAACCATGTTGATTTAGACTATTTTAATTTATAGATTCGCTTTAATATTTCAAATATATATTACTCAGTATTAGTGAACTTATCTACTATATTCTTGAAATTCATCTGTGATAAGGTTAAAATGGATCAACCATGAGATTCAAATTAAGCATAATATTTTCCTATGTAAGTGGGTACTATCAAGTTGCTAACGTACATCCCACAGATATTTATACCATTGATATTCTTCTATGACTACCAATCAATCACTTGACATTAATGTTTAGTCAAAAGTAAAAAAAAATATTTCTCATTTATTAATTTTTAACAAAACGATTAAGAATTCTTACCAACAGTGTTTACAAGAACAAGCACAAATGATACCTCATTTTGAATTGTCTCAAAAGTTTTATACCTTTTAGACGTGTTGCTATAACAGCTGAAACGAAAATTGTTTTTCATAGACAAATTTAATATATCTAATTAGTTTGTTATTAAAATATATGAAACAGTCACGTGGGAAAATATACCAATGATACATTCTTTTCTCAAATACGAATATTTAACTATATTAAATAAATGCTGATGTTTATTTGGATTAAATTGATGTCGATTGTAGAGATGAAAGTGAGTCATTTGAAAAAAATGTTTGTTTGCTTTTTTACTTCAAACAAATTAAAATGCAAACTACGAAAGAAACCTATTGAAATATTGTGGAAAAAGTCTCTTTGACGACATTTACTGAATCTGTACAAACGTACTTCTAGTGACTTAACCTATAAAAGTCTATTAAATATATTGCGTCATTCAAAAGTGTTTTGAAGTAATAAAATCTCGGATACTATTGTAGTGGATCAAATGGACTAAATATCGAAATTTTCGTCTTCACAGCATTCTTGATACCTTACCTGTATATTCATACTTTTGATATTAATCCTATGATTTAATTGATTGTTGATTTTACATTTTCTCAGGTGAAAGAAGTCTAGTTATCGATGGATATAAATTTACAAAATCAAGAGATGGAATGGGTGATCGTGTATTTTGGCGATGTTCTCGTCGTGAATGCAAAGCTACAGCAGTTACTGTTTCAAATAAAGTAGAGCATATAAGATCGATTCATTCTCATTTACCACCAGTAGCTGCAGAATTTTTTTCTGATGATTCTTCTCGTTGTGAACAAGAAGTACGATTTAACAATTTAGTATATACTCAACGTTCTCGTATACGTAGACGTAGCCAACCGAATCCTTCTATGAAACTATCAAAACAATCGGTAACGAAACCCTGTTTTCTTGAAAAAATAAAAGAATTAGCCAGCCCAACTTCATATTCTGTAACATCAAATGCAGTTTCACATAAAATCTATTCTTCAAACCTAAGAAGTATGGATCTTCCAAATGATTTGTGCATTGATTCAAATGAATATGCATCTCCTATAAAGAGAAGACATTGTTCTGATCAAGACCTATCTGATTACTCAACTTTACAAACAATGTCTGCCCTTTTAACCAAATGGGTCGATTCGAAACAAGTGAATATAGAAAACGACGAGGCAAAAGTAAGTTTATTTACTGTTTTTGAAATGTGCTTTTTTCTAATTTAAGATAATTTTTCTAGTCAGAAACTTTTCTCAAGTTTGCTTCCAAACATTGATGATATCTTGATGGAAATATATTCGTTTCTTACTGACTAAAACTATTTTAAAAGACAAATTAAGAACAGTAACCATTATAGATCATACTGAGAACTAGTCTGTTCGGATGAAAAATAATGTTTTCAAAATAGCCTATGAAAATCCTGAGAATGTTATAGCATTGATTGTCTGTTGCACGTATTAGTACTGAAGAATAAAAAGAATGAGAAAAACAGTCACACAGTGATTCAATTTTTCTGGCGGTAGTTCTATGGGTAAAAATAGCAAGAAAGATAACTTTTGACTGTGAACTGATAAAATATCCTACTAAATCACCAATTTTTTTAACATCACTTTGATCGTTTTGAAAGCACGTAGACACTTGGGACAAAAGAACATCACTTTCCATTTGTGCCCATTCACCGACTACTTTGACGTGTGATGAGAGCTGGTGCAAAAGTAGACTGGAGAAAAGCTGAGGGTGTCCAGGTCATTATATGATATCAGTACATGAGTACGCTGACTTTTGGACTAATCCGTGTAGACAGGTGCAGACTACCTGGTTGGAGTCAACGCAATCATGTTAAAAAATGGTTATAGACTTTGGATGACATAGCCAAGAATAGTTAGAAATGGGGTAGGTGTTCTCCCTCTTTCCATTCCCTTGGGTCATAAGCTTTTAAATTACTTAAAAATTTTTTAGCCCACTAATTGATGTTTTTTGAGTTGTATCTTGGGTGCGCGATCTTTCTTATTATCATGAATACTGTCAGTACCTCAACTACTCTGGGTTTTGTCCTGACATTTTCATCTGTACGTGTTAATGGGTGGTCGCAACTTGAACCACTATACATATATATGTACCAGTTTGTAAGTTATGAATGACTGACTGACTTTTGATTTGAATAAAATGAAGCCGCCTTATACCAATCAGACTAATTTATCAAGATATTTATTAACTATTTTGAATCTTGAACCAATACTATACCGCATAAAATTGTCACTATAAAACAATGAACTGTAACTTTTAGTAAGAAAAGTATTCAATATCCTATTGCTTATCTAAATGTGTAGATAAAGTCAAAGGAAGTAATTGGATAACCATTGTCTATAACCGTTACCGACACAGGATATGGCAGCTTTGTTGAACTGCTAGTATCTTTTCCACATTTCCGCGATATCAAAGGGATCTATTGTGCATAAACCCTGTTTGACTTTTATGTTCTCGATTTCACCATTTTAAGGTAACTATGAAGTATACACTAGATAATTATTTTTGTATAAAATTAGCGTTATCTTCATTATTTTATGATTTAATTGGTCATTTTACTGTAGTCCAATTATTTTAATGGTAAATAATGACAATATTCTATCCTCGATCCATACTCATACACAGAGATTCTCATTATTCACAAAACAAATTCAGTTTTGGCTCCACACTACAACCTACAAGATACTACACTTCGATAGAGGCAAATCGATAGCGATGTTCGTATCTCAAACACACTCCTTTTCTCGTGAAATTCCAGTAATAGTATAATTTCCACAAAATATAGTCAGTGTTACAAAACTGAAAACAGTTATCTATTTAAGGGCTATCATCATTCTCAAGTAGTAGTCCTTTTGTTAGTTCGTTTGAGGTTTCATGTTAATGACACCATTAGTAAAAATCCACTTTTTTCTGGTTTCTAGAAAAGGAGTATCATCCCATAGAATGGATAGCAGACAAGTTTTAGTCGCTTACATCCCTTCATTATCATAAGAGCTTTTTCTTGTGGTCGATAAAAATACTCTAAATTTCTTGCTTGATGGAACCCGATTCCAAAACAAAATGGCAACTTTGAGCAATTGCAAACATGGACCTTTGTCATTTAGAATTATAAGCATTATCATTAAGTCGTTCGTTCTGTGGCTGATAAGGAGTAGAAGTTTTCATCGGGTTGTATAGATTAATAATGACCAAACAGGAATTAGGTCACTAAGCTAACTACTTTCAGTCACACTATTATAAATGTTTCAGTCTTCACTACCATTCGAGAGATTTTTCATGCTGCCTGTTGAAACTGAAACTGAAAAAAAATTGTCGTACAGTTTAAATAATAGTAGCTCAAAAATTATAAATAGAGATTGGGTAACACATCGGAAATCTATTGGTCATTGTAGATATTGTAAAAATTCATTTGTAAGATAATGATATTCAATGAGTTCGCTATGAACGAATTATTCATATAAATAAGATATATCCCTTGACATTTTCTCATGTTTATTACAATAATACTAAAATGAAATTGTTAGGTAGCGATCACAAAAATGGAGTTGACAATACATATCAATAGATCCCAACTTAGTAGTTTAAGTTTATCATCACTGTTAAATCTAATGGTTTTGGATTGATATCTGTTTATTGTGGTCAGTGTTCATTTGTGAAATACCCTAAACTGAGGTTAAGCACCTGTTCTGCATCTGATGTCAGTTTGGGATGGAAATTAACTTTGAAACTTAACAAGATCTTTAAAAAATTATCTAAAATTTTACGTTATATGATCAGTGAAAGCAGTAATACTGTAAAAGTAAATACAGATAATCCATCAATTAATGACTGTAGAAAAATAGAATATGGGTCATTCTTAACTATTTTAAAAAATTAGTAAGCATAGCTTCAATGAAATAGAAGTAAAATTATAAATTATAATGAAAAAGTAAGCTACATTCGAGAGAGTATCCAAGTAATTTTTTCTATCCAAGACAATCATAAATGTAATATTATCTATTCACCGTGAAGTTTACATTACTTGATTTAATATTTATGTTTGTGTGAAAAGGTTGAGTTTGAGATTGATCCTAGACGTTTGGTGGATTATATTTGATTACTTTGTTCACTATGAGACCACTATTATTTATATTTAATAAAGTTAAAGCATAGGATGGCAATCGATCTAACTATTTTCTTTTCATTATAAGCATTCTGACTATATTCCTAAGTAACATCATTTCTTCCTTAGTCAACAATATAATACTTTATATAAGCGTAGTTGTTATTTGACAAAATACTTATTTGACTGCCACTTTGTTACTTTTATATCTTTTAATAAATTATTTGCCTCATATGAAAACTGAACTCATCTGTCTAAAATGCATTAAGAAACAAATAATTAACCAGTATAGTTCATCATTTATTGAATGACTCATAGTAAAATGTCGAAGCTCAAGCCATTTCATCTGTATGTGGATTATTATTTAACCGACTGCATGCAATCAACGTGAATATTAGTCCTGTCTGATAGACAGCTGATTATATGATATGGTAATAATAATAACAATAATACGTTTTGATCATGTGGTGTGATAATAGTACATTTTCGTCTTATGATGTTCAAGTATCATTGATGTGGTGATTATTCTAGGAATGTATTAAATCACGAGTTAATAGTATCATAATTTCCTTATTTATTTTGTTGAGTAATTTTCTCAAATTCAATTGGTTGTTAACATTAGATTGAACTGAAACTACAAATAAACTGTCTGTGGTGAGACTTATTTTATTTAAAAAAAAGACCGAACGTCTCTCAGCAAATTATTGACTTTTGGTGTTATTTAACAATTATGCTTACCGATGAAATCTCACATGTAGCGACTAATGGTTTTCTCTTGTTGGTTGGCGTAAATAGTAGTACGAAATACTAAATTTACAAGATCAAATTAAAAATTTCATTGAAATACCAGGCCAATAATGTCTAAAATAACTATTGAAAACTTTGCTTATATCTGAAACCATGTATAACTCATTAAATATCTGACATTACATACTTGTGAATGTTATTCCGTAAGTATCGACGTTTTCAGTGTTACAAACAATATACAAAGTATGAATATCATTCATTGAGATCCACGTATGAACTAGTTAATTTTAAATCAAATTTGATAGATAAGTACCAAAATAGTTCTTCATAATTTATTTATAATCCTTTAAAACTAAACATAGACCATCAGTGTATGTTAAAATACATCAAATTACGTGTTAGCTTAATAACTCATAGGTTTTCAGAATAATTCACTCACAAAATACCATCGTAAACATTCTTGTGATAACAGATCTATTGTTAGGGTTTTCGAGTTATTCAATTGTATATAAGTTTTTGATTTATTTACTTAAAAATAAAACAAATGCTTCAAACATAATATTCTTAGCAAAAAAGAACGTAACTTTTATAGGTATGAGTGAATGAAAAAGTTAGGTAAGATTTACAAACACTGTTTATATAATGTCGGGAAAACAAATCGACTTCTTGTACACAGTTCAAAATTTATCTTCGTTTTTACTTCCTCATTACTAAACAATTCACAGAAAAAATTTGATTATCGTTTAAAATGGTGTTTAGTTTTATTATTCCACATATATTGGTTTCTACATAGTCCACTGTCACTAATAAACAGATTGAGATCAGCCAATATGACATACTCGATGCAGATCCTGAAGCAAATATGTATCGATTCAAGTTGCTAAACGTTATCTTAGAACAACAGAAAAAGAAAATGAGCGAGAATCAAATCAAAAGGATGAGAATCCAAACATCAAACTTAGTAAAAAAAATAATCATAAGATTTACATTTTAAAAGGAAAAATATAGGTAGAGGAATACAACAATAGATCAGCACTAAGTCCAGAATTTAGAAAATAAGACATTAATCCAGATGTGTTGTTCTGCCCGATTCGATGTTGTATCATCTAAGGTCTAAAAACAGAAGTGAACACCTTTTTATATGGCACACTCCAAAAGTTAATGACCATAAACTAATCTCATTACCTTCGTTTGGACTTGTGACTAATGTATATGCGTACCGCTACACACTGTGAGAATGACATGACTAAACTAAAACCCAAAGATCATTTCCAATGTCATTCGATACAAAATAAAGCTTCACAACTATCCAATGATATCAATAATATATATGCTAATCACAAAATGGTTAAGTTCAATCAGTCACAGCTTTTCACCAGACGTTCTATCACATCTAGTCAGTAATTTAAAAACTTTTCTTTTTGATCGGAAGTAATTTTATAATTCCAAATCGATCTCGTGTATGACTGTGATTATTCATTGCCGAGAATAATTTCAATGTAAAATAAAACAACTATGTTTAAGGGTTCCTGTTTTTCTAGCCGATATCATTTCGTGCTGGAAAACTATCTTAAAGTAGGTATTATCTATTTCAATCAAATCTAGACTTAATTGTCTTCTTTTTATATTTTGTTCAGAAACCTCTCTGTAATACTTCAAAATGTATTTTACCTCCAAAGAAATTGTCAAATAATATCTTGACTAGTGAAGAATGCCAGTTATTCAATAGTAATTCAGCTTTAGGTGAGTATTCAAGAAAAAATTGTTATATATAAACATTGAAGTGTTTTTCTTTTCATTAATACTTTTATTACAATTAAATAATCAAGTTTTAATAAACGGGTTGCATGTGTATATATACACATATACATTATATATATAACCGCCGTTATTTAAATTACTGTAAGAACTTTAACATGTCAGCGAATGTCGTTCGTTCAGTGCTTATTTATCTGCATTAAGATTGTTTTATTAAGATTTAGTATAACTCACTGGTAATGATTATCTCGACAAATTCTTATCAATCAGAAAATTGTGGAAAACTAGGAAGTCAGAAGTAGTTATTTTTTTAACTAATACTATTCTAATAGTGCCAATCACCTTCAAATGACTTATTTATGATATTGAAATGTAATATAATCATCTGTTGCTATGTAAATGTCTTATTTTCTGCAACTAATTATATGATATATTTCCAGTGACTTATTATTTAATAAAATATCCATGTTATGTAACAAAATATGTCACTAATGAATGTAATCAATATTGTACAGTTTGTTTCTTAGTTGTGAATGGATTTTACCATCCAAGTTAATAGTTTAATTACCATAATAAATGTGTCGGACTGTATTTGTTGTTTGAAGGCAGTTGATGTTAGGTGCCAGACCAAACGTTTGGGTTTATCTATTATCATCTTGAAGAAACTCTATGCTTCATAAAATGTTTTGATTTATATTACGAAACACCAAAATCATAAATGGTATTCATCGGACTCATGATACATATAAGGTAAAATTTACTTCAAGTCACTGGTAAATCAGTCAATGAATCTAGATTTTTAAGTATTACCTCCAATTCTCGAACACGATAAATTACATAATCACATATTACATATTGATCATCAAAACATTTTATAAATAAATATTTAGAATACCCTGTTATCTATTTTGTCAACGATAAATTTATTGCTACCTGTTAAATTTATGAGAATATGATTGATATGAAATTCACTTTAATCATGTGATAGCAGAAAAAACTAAAATTATTCGCTTTATACACTAAATTTCCTAATTTCTTATGTTATCTATTTCAATAAGTATTTGTTTACTTTACCTAAACGGTTTTTAAAAAAAACACTTTAATGTGAAATAGACTTTCATCCGGCAACTGACATGGATATTCCATGACTTCATGAATTTTCAAACTTTAAGCTAAAACTACGTCTAAGAAATATGGTTACAAATACATTAGAAATATGACCAGCTGTAGAATTCAGGACAGCCATTTTGCTTTATTTCAGACACGTTACCTAGAAGTACATTTATCCCTTGGTTAATGTTCCCAGTGAAACTCGAACCCAGTGTTTATCGCTTCAAACACTGACTCATTATCTACTGATCTAATAAATCCAAGTAGTAATTAGCTTGTCTAGTCTGTATGAATTTATATGTAAGGGTTCGAATTTTATCTTAGTTAATACTAAGGATTATAACTGTCTCAGTGCAAACATCAATACTAAGATTCAGATACATCCAACTGATGAATCCAAAGTAGGACAAAAGGCGTCTCCTAGATCCTACTAGTAGCTATGATCCAAGCGTATCCTCTCAAGATGCATATAGTGTCAACATAGGCGATTCAATTAAAATATTTAATATCAACAACAAGAAAGCTCAATCCTTTATATATATCTTAATTTTGTTTTAGGATCTTTAAAAATTAAACATCATTTAAACTCAATTTACAACACCGTTGTTTGTTTAAGGTATTTCACAGTGATCTCCTTGTTTTTGTTGAATTTTCTTAAACTTATAGATGTAAATAATTCTTTGAATTCAACTCACAGTGATGTATATGAGGATTCCTTGTCAAAAGTATCAAAATCAGAAAGTTTCAAAAAATTAACTACCCCGGCCACTTCATCGAACAATATTTATAATCATAGTTCAGAAAATGATTTAATAGGAATAAATAAAACTTCTCAGATCATCACACGGAACGGTACTACTACTGATGAAGACGATAGTAATCAAGACTTTGTAAATGATAATTCACTAAGAAATTCCATAATTAATAATATGTCGAAAACTCAGCAATCTGATATAAGTTTACCTTCAATAGACGTCAGTCCTCTTGAACACAACTGTCAACGTCAAATTATTCTCCTTAATAACGAACAATTGAGTGAATTATTAAAAATAATAAAGTAAGAATGCAAACGTCTCATATGCTTATTATGGTTTTCATTCAAGTCAGTTATCAATTTCAAATCGGATTCTAAAGATAATAAAGACAAATCAGATTCATCTTAGATATTTTGTAGCATAACGCTTAAAGGTTTTCTATTCTAGTTAGATTTATTATTTCAGTTACACCATAAATAACATATCACTGGAAAATTTACGATAGTGTGTAACTAACATTCCTTCGGTGATTACTTCCTAAATGAAGTCATCATTTGAAGTATGTTTACATACTTTCCTCACCATAGAATAGTTGAGCATAAAAGTTGGTTAGAAAGTATGGATTGATATAGTTCTATTGTTTTAATCATAGTCTGTATTCAATGCCTTTTCTGTACACATATATTTTTTGACAACTTTTTTTTTATTAGTTAAGATTAGTCACTGTTGAGAGAAGTGTATAATTCTGTAATATCTTATTTGTAGTATTTGTTCACGTCGATAATTTGATTGATGGGTTACTTCTGAAATTCCATCGATTAAAATTAGATAAAACCTATTTCATAAACTAGATAGATGAAGAGAAATTTACTTTGAAACAGCAAACCTGTGAATTTAATTCATTTTTGTATTGGCTGTTTGAATCTTCTCGTTGATGTTTAGGAATGCAGTTTATCAGTCTCCTATTGGCAAATACGCATCCTGTGCGGACTGTCTCGACTATTGGCTTAAGTTATAAGCATTATAAGCAGAGATGAATAAATTTGTTGTTTATATAAGTTAGTTGATGTGTATCCTAATGAGAATAATTTAATGGGAAAGGCTTATCAGGATGTTTGCTACTTCTGATAAAATATGTCAGTATATTTTAAAATAAGATCATTTATGTACATATTTTCAAAGTGGAAGAATGTATTTGTAAAATCTCAGTGAATGAATTAAAAGTAAATCCAACGTTTCGCTTTTTCAAGGAAATATAATCAAACATCAAAATTATTGCAAATACCTACTTTAAAAATTGTTAACGTTGATTGGATGACCGATTCAGTATACAGTGAACTGGAGAATTATGTACCTATTTATATTCGATAATTTTGATGTTCGGTTGTATTTCCTTGAAAAATCTTCGATCAGATTGCCAGGTAAAACGTTGAATTTACTTCAAATTCATTCACTAAGATTCTACAAATACATTCTTCCTCTTTAATGTCTCACATTAACTCGGCGCCCAAATACTGTGAAACTATTCGATCAAATTTAAACGAAAGTACTTATATATGTTTAAAGCGTTTCTCTTTCAATCGAAGTATTTTTACTATCCGTAGAAAATTAAAACATAGATAAATTTAAACAAGGTAGGGCATAACAAAAATATTATACACTAGTTTATATTGTTTCATAAGTAAAATAGAATACTAAAATGTTTAATTGTAATACCGAAAGCGGCATGGAAATTCAACGAAAAAAATAGACAAGGGAAATTTGTGAAACCGAGAGTTGAATAATAATATACAATACTAATACGATTTCAATAACGAATGAATATATCTCAGATAATGAAACTTTATAGCACTTGTATTACAGTTTTAAGCTATCTAGAATGTTTTCCGATATATGATTACCCAATACAGACAGATATCAACTTAAGACACGGTATCAAAGTACACTCCTTGAATTCTCAAAGCTCCCCAACAGCATAGAGTAAATTAAACAACAAATGGACAGGTAATAAAATGAACGGAAAGAACGTGGCTCAAAATAAAAAAATAGCTAATAAATATTTTTAAAGTTGAGAATCAAATAAGTAGTGAGTGGATTTGCGTCGTTAGAATGGGTTTCCATCCAACAAAGTTATACCGATACACAGCTTCCAAAAACCTTGGCTGATTTCATGAAATGGTATAATATCTTGATTTATTCAACCTTAAGTTGTATTCTGACCCAATCGTACCTCAGCAAACATGGCATAATAGAGTAAATGAGCACTTCAAACACATTGTCAATTATCTCTATTATCTAAGATTAACATGTGGACGAATACCTAAGTTGAGAAAAAATCTAGTGAAATTACTTACGAATTTCAAATCACACTGATGAATAATAATAGTTATAATGATAATAATAACTATATATATACTATCTTTCTGTCTTCTGACAGTTACAGTCGAATCAACAATATTCCAATCCAAAGTGAATCTATGAGTTCACCTTCTTTACAAACATCAAGTTTAGTCAATGACAATTCACTTAATTCTATTGGGTTGTTCACAGCATCCGATCCTAATTTAACTGGAGGTTTAGCACAGTGCACTACTACTTATTGCTGTTCACATTATCCAAGACTTAACAGTAGAGTTGTTAATCGCGATAATGATTGTTGTATACCATCATCTCATCATATTTCCTGTCCTAAAAACCTAAATTCAAATCCAACTGTATATTCTTCTTTCAACAATTGTTCGAATAATTTATTCAATAAAATGTCCAAATCATTGGCAGTCAGTGAGACCAATATTGACGGCTGTGGTAAGTTCCGTACAACAAACAATTTCCTAATAGACGAGTGACTGAACACATCAAAAGGCAATTATTTACTCTTGAGATTTCATCACTCATTCAGTCCGAATAGTTAGTGACATTCTGTTTTGAAAATATCTTTGATGATTGCATTATTAAAGGCTTATTAGTACGTGGATAGATACATTCTGGACGGACTGTAGAAACTGCCACTGTTGGCATAGACTATTTTATTTCAGCAATTAAATTACAAAGCTGGATTAACTGTAGAAGCTGCAAGGTATCTTTGAAAGTAATTAGCAACATTATGGATTTCCTGAATATTTGATTCGACTTTCTTTAACAGTAAAATAGCTCACAATTAAAAAGGTTCTCACTGATCTCTATTACATTTACTTTGTGTATAATCCCTTATCACGTATTTATCTCATTCATGTAAGAGAACAACTTAACGACAGCATAATGTTCCTATTTCGTACTTTTCAGTAAAAAGGGGACTCGTTGAAACTTCACTATCTTGGATTACTGTTAAACATAGAGAGCGTGCAAAATCTCTACTTATATTCGTAATGTTTGAAGCCACATCATGAGCTTGAATTTGTTGGAGAATCTACATGTTACCTTTTTACAATTTACGCTACCTTAATATGTTTCCGTAAACATACTGTAATTTCTATTATACATTTTAAATATACAAACTCACTAGACAGTAACTATAGTTACCTAGCTATGACCTTGTGCTCTAATAGTATTTTTGGATTAGTAATCGTCTGTTAACATTTTTTTCATTTGCCTTTGTGATAAAAATAGTGCACATGTGTAAGTCGCATGTTTCCTTCCCCTTTACCTAAACTGTTCAAAATAACAGTTTTACTATTATATATGTGTACATGATGGGAGAACGTGGGCGAACATTGGCGAGTCATTTACGGATACCTCAACTGGCTTTGTTTCTTATTTTAGTGCTTACTGGTTTAAATACAATAATATGACTCATCTCTTCATTATTGTCTACTTTTATCTCCATACTCTGTCTCACCCATCCTGCAGTTTGTATGTTTAATGTGCTTCATATAAGAACATAGGACTTTAGTAGTTCAATGAGACTATTAATGTGATATTTCCTTTTTTTGAAAAAAAAAACGCTTATTTCAGATTGTATATGTGACCAGTTGAATTTATATAAAATTATATTTGGATGATAAACAAATCATATAAGTCTATTTCTTTAGTTTGAGTCATACACCTGAATTTAAAGACATGTTGAAGATAGGTAGCCGTTATTTCACTTTATTATCAAGCCTATCTGACAAAGACCCAATTATGAGTAGATGTAGATATGTGGGGGACAGGAGCATCTTTGAACTCTGTCAGGTTGAAATATCACCGTTATTTTATTTTATACGCAAAGACTAGCGATTTCTAATTAGGATTTTAAGGTGGAATTTCTGGAAAGTCTTCATTTATGTTTTACTTCTGAACACATAGACAATACTTAAGAATACTCGTCTAGTCATAATATAGTTGGATTATCATGTATTAAAAAAGTAACAATTAGGAAATTTGTCATTACTGCTATTTCAAAGGTGTTGTTATACTACACTATGAGAATCACGAATCCATCGTCGATCTAGAGTCACGAAATAATTTTGGGTGAAATAAATATTGTTATGCCTAAGTTTCAAGGATATTGGGACTTTCAAACTTTCAATTCTCATTGTTACATCTGTAGTAATGGGTTTAATACTTAACTAAAATAACTATTCCTTATTGATATTATTTATTCATGTCAGCCATATTTCACAAGAATTGTCTTTAGTTGTTTTTAAATTGACATACGTAGTACACTAGGTAAGTTACATGACGTTTGATATCATGGCAAGTCAGTAGGTGAATCATTCATCTTACCGAAAATCATGACTCACGTGCCCTTCGTAGGATCAGTTGGATTAAATATAGATGCATGAGAGGTTTAAGCACTTTATTCGGAATCCATTTTTTCCATCGAACAGGACAGCACACAGTAGCGTGTCAGTACTATAACAAAAAATGTCATTCTAAGCATTTGAATGGCTACTTATTCTTTTCTATCTGTAAATGTGCTTGTCTATAAGTCTGTGCAAAGTTACGGAAGTTAGACTGGTTTTTTTTTATTATTTCCAAACATCTTAAATCAAACAATGTATTATGACACTGTACCTTCCATGTCGATTGAATTCACTTCAACTAGCTTTCAGTAAAATATGTTAGGCCAGCACTTTATTTTATTTCCAATCGGATTATAAACGGTGATAAGATTTTCTGGAAGTTTATACATAATTTCAATTTGGTTTGTTACATAAAAGTATTATTTTCTTATTGTTTTCTTTTTCAAAATGGGATTGATGGTCATTTATAAGACACTCATGTAAATGGTCACAAATCATCATCTCCGAATTTTCTAATTCATTGGAAAAAGGAGAAAATACGTGAATCTGTTGAAGAAGACGGAGTCAATTCGTTGAATGGATTCTATGATAATAATGATACATTTTCACATCAACTTTATCAAGATAAAGATCATAATACATTGGAAATGGTAGATAATCATCAAATATCGGTTAATAATACTCCTTTGACGAATTGTTCATCACAATTATTTTCTCATGGTTAGTACAACTTTAACTACGTTAATAATAATAATAATAATAATAGTAATAATCTTATATTAAATTTTTTGTAAGTCAGTTGCAACATTTTGTTCATTGATATTTAATATAGCAGGTTTGTATTATCCTAATCACAAATGTTAAGAGAAAATCATTTTTTGGGTAAGTGAATCTGATTATACTCTGTACATAGATCAGGTCAAGAAGCGAGTATCGTCTACAATATATTATAAATTCCAAAATTTTAATGACATAAACAGATCATCAGTTGATCAGTCAGTTAGTCCTAAATAATTTAAAACCTGTCTAAAATGTATGTACTCTTAAGTTGTCTCACTACATCTAACCACAACCAAGCAGAAACCTTACAAGATCAAAAACCAAAAGACTGGAATTTGTTATATCAATGCTAGTAGAAAACTAAGCATAAGAAGTACACACCAAGAAAAAAAAATAAATGAAATTGAGAGATGGGAAGTGTATAATAAAACTAGTCAATAAGTAATAAGCAACGTGGAATCTGGCACACACTTTCATCGGTTCAAATTGTTACCGAATCAGTACGGCGAAGTGGAGTTGTCAAGATAAATGACAAAGTAGTAAAACTGTTAACAGTATCAGTATTAGTAGGGAAGATCAAGCACAGAAAATATGATTATGAAAGAAAGAAAGAATTTTCAGAGCAGAACTTACGGGTATTTAAAGAGTAAAAATAAATCATCTGCTCTGTTGTGACTGATTCTGAGCTGTGCTATTCAACGCCTCTGACCATTGATTACGATAATTGATAGAAACCCAACCAAGGAATCTGCACCGACCTATACAGCTCAGCCCGACAATCAGTCACTTCATCGACCGATGCTATGTCTTGATTTGGCCGCCTCTGGTGTAACAAAATTAAACTGATGATTTAGAAGAAGATTAAGATGAAGAATGAATGATATTGTGTTAATGAAATAGATTTTGAGCCATATCACCTAAAGCTTTTGACTGAAGGTTACGATTATCTCGTTTACTTCAATCAAGAAGTCTAAACTCTTCAACAAAAGCATTTTGATGAAGTTTTGTTCTCTGAGCTGGATGGTTTGCTCGGGGAGCTTTCACTGTTCTTCTGAACGACTTCATCAGTACAAACTACCTGGTAATTACCTGAAGTTTATGCTGATGAAGTCTTTCAAAAGAACGGTGAAAGCTCCACAACCAAATCACCAACCTCAGAGAATAAAACTCCATAAAAATCATCCACCTGAGCTACAAATCTCCAACATCTCAACATCACCATGTTTACAAGTTCATAGCTTCATGACTTTGTGATGTGCATTTTCTTGACCATTATCCTTTGATTTAATTGATTCATATCATCACTGAAAGTCAGAATAACTTATGGACTTATATAAAATACTCATCCTAACCACCTTAAAGTAGATCAATATTTATAGCTTCTTCAACTAATTAGGTTTCTTTTCACTGAATACAGATCATTTAAGTAGATGATTTCAATTATTTTCTACCAATTGTTTAAGATATTCCCATCATATTGAATAATAGATAGTTATAATACCGTCATATTTGCTTTACTTGTTAGTCGTGTGTTGATGAAATAAAACAGATTATTTCTAACTAGTACAAAAAGCATATTATTTACATGATGTTTAAAATTTATTTTAGCTAGAATGGTACACCTACATTCCTCATCTAATAATCAAAACTTTTTCACTACTTCAGTTACAATCTGTGATTTGGGTTTTTTTCTTAAAAAAATTTAAATAATGAAATCCAAATGTATTTCACTTAGTTTCGTTTCAAGTAAGTTACCTGTGCAAGTGTAATATTATACAAATGTATATAGGACCCTCTTATCAAATGTTATGGAAAATATATCTAGTTTTTTGATAAAGTCTGAGAAATTATCTTTTTTTGACTGTTTTTTATTTGAGCTGACGTTTAAGCTATTAGATGTCCCAACAGTTTTATTCATATCAGATTCACCAAATAGTTAATTACCCGTACTATGTCGTGGTACATTTATTTGTATATAACAGTAAACCAGATAATAATATCCACGTATTTATTTGTGTTTTTGTCTTTTATAAGTTTATCAATAGGAATTCACTAACTTTCTTTGCCATTTTAACTTTTTTCTTCACTCTCGTCAAAATTTTCTCACATTATCATTCTGTAGTTATTTCACAGTTAGTTACCATTGCAAATGACCTTGTCTTCTTTTTTATTCTGTATTTTTGGAAAACAAGTATTTTTGCATTCATGTTGTGTGTTGAACAATTTGACAATCGTGCCCAGCTCAAAAAGTGTGATGTCACTAATTACCTGATTCATACGTGGTCATGTATTCTACTTGATTCTATTAGCCCTTTTAATTCATTCTTATTAATGCTAAATAATTTTATGGTCTCATTCAAATAACTTATGGTCATATGAAACTTAATGATTCCAGATACACATTAAGCATTTTACAAATCTATTCCAATCACAATTTCGCTAATCAGTTTAGTTAGAATAGAACATAGAAGAGTGATTAGGTCATATCATACTGGTAGTACATAGTTTAAATTTATCCACCAAGTGATGCATATAATTTATTTCTAGACAAATGTTGAGAACTTTAACTTGAGTGGTAGCTACGATATCCCAAGCTTGTCATCAAAATAAATAAGTGGGACCAACAAACACATGTAGTATTTTTCAAATACAGACTACTTCTAAGTAGTGGAAAATATTTCTAGTTCAAGAGGATAATTTTGTTGAAAACACCTTTTCAGTTGGACGATTAAACCATTTGGTTCAAAGGATGTAATTTTAACAAAAATAGTCTGTTTCATTTTATTTAATCGGACAAGATTGTTTATCAAGTTCTACCATATACTTTGAATGTTCTCTAGCTTGGTAACTACTGATATGTACCCAGTAGTTGAACAAATGGACCATATAAATATTATATATTGTTGGGATCAAAGATGTTGAGGATAAGAAGTTATTTTATAACATTTACTGGATTGATAGTAAATATATTTTTGTTATATCCCAATGAGTAGAAAAACTGTATTTCTGACGTTTCAGAACTTAATGTAGGCCAACATCTTCAGCGTAAATAAATAATCGAATTAAATCAACACAAGTCTAAATAGTACAAAGGCAACAATGCATTATTACACCTTGATTAAGGCTTAAACAGGTTCAAGAAGTACGAAGCTGAAAATTTTCTGCTTGTTCAAATTGAAGTTATATATAAAGACTACAAAATAGTAGTGCTACTCACCTCGATCTAACTTGGCGATATATCATACCTGACGTAAAAATAATAACATCAACAGTTAATTTCTCGATTAAAAGTTGGTAACACTAGGTTTTAAATATTTCTCATAGTTCCTTGTACAACATAAATTAGATAGTAAAAGACCTATGAGATCAGGAAGCCACTGACTACTAGTGTCAAAATCATGCAATTTGAATGATATAAAGATAACTGCGAAGAGGAGCTCAGCTAGCTAACTTTTGTTAGTGTATTAACTTTTTGGGTTAAAAAACACTATTGAAAAGACCAGAAGAAATTTATAAATCGTGAATAAATGTTGTATTGTTGTAGCGTTTTGCAGAAATTCTTGATTTATGGCATGCTATCACTACACTAAAGCTTTCTTCCATTACAAATATTCTTATATTTTCTGTCAGTATATTGTTCTAAATCTTTTACAGATGAATTTTCATAACTTTATTTGTGAGAATCTGACCCAATATATTTGAGTTTGCTCTTATTACACAGAATTACTAATTTGATTTAGTCTGTTGGAACAGTGAAAAAGTATATATATATTACATGAATTTGTATTTTGTTATTGATTTGTGTCAAATTATGTCAGTGAAAGCTTCACAATTAAGCTATCCAGCTCAAAGAACCAAAAAATACAAATTTTCAGTACTTCATGTTCTACAATGAATACAAAATCTCCAATACCTAAAGATTTGATTTTTTACCTTTTTAATTAATGATCATAATTTCGCTTAAAAGGGTATAATAATTTATTACACTGACGAATTTCACTGACTCGAATAATTAGGCGAGTTATCAGTATGAGTTCGTGGAGATCATTGAATTTTACCGAGGTTACAAACCTATCTAAGTTAATCAACCCTTGAGAACCTGGAAGTCCTGGATGGCCATTCAGTTGCAGTGTAGAGCTCCTCATCAGTACTTACCCGCGTCTCTACACCTAGGAATCGAACCCAGAACCCACGGTCTCGAGTGCGAACACAACTTCTAAACCTGTGAGCAGGAACTCAATTTTGTAGATGGATGCTTGCTCAGTAGTGTGGAGGTTAAGAGTTTATGAATCGTGAATACGCACTGTTGAGGCATCCCTTACTAGAACGAAACGGTTGTCCAGTGTTTCCATGTTTTCAATGGTTGTCTGAGATCGGTTCCTGGTATTATGATAATTATAGTAGTGCTTACAAATTAAAATTCATACGATAATATCCTACTATTGGTGCAATAAACTTAGCTGGCATTGTCTTTCTATTAAATGAAACTTTTGTCAATGCTTAGTTTTAAATGTACATTAGGACACCGTCTAGCTATACAGTCAGGCATAAGATATGCTACGAGTTTATAAAATCAAAAGATAGAGAGACTTTATAGACGAATATCGATAATCATTAAATATAATTGAATGATATCTTGTTAATCATGCTAATAACAAACCAATTCCAAACAATACGAAAGTACCCAGCCAAACATAGTTATTAGAGCTAAAAGTTTTGTAACTATTAAGCAACTATTAGATTACAATTAACCAATTCAGGATTCATTTTTTCTGAATGAATCATCTACAGCATGACTGCTTTCACCATATTAACTACTGCTCAGTGCTTTACACTGGTAAAGTTACAGTACGTAAGGCGAATGGCGTAGTAGATTTTTTAATTAAGACTGTAACGAATGCTTAGACGCTGACTCATTACTGAGATAACTAGTATATATA